GAGTCTGGTGTGACTGACTGCAGCCACTCAGCAACCTTCTGAAACGGTTGGAAAGTGCCAGGCACTGCCCTAGGTCCCTGCTTCCTGCCCTCTAGCAGGGCAGACCAGATCTGTAAACATCACAATACCGCGGGCAGTCACATGGAGGCAGTGCTTACAACGCCACCGGGGCGGATTTAGTCTCCAAGAGCCTGTCAAGGGGGAAAGACCTTTTGGGAAAACAGAATATGGCCGAGCACAGGAACATTGGGAGGACTGGAGTTGTGGCCAGAGCCTGCGGTGCTCTGAGGAGGCTGTGGCCGAGGAGGAGCCCAAGGCGCGGGCAGCAGAAGAGAGGGGAGCACTTCCTGCGGGAATAACAGAGATTCCCTCTCAGGGAGGCCACTGTGACGTCAGTGCAGACGACAGGATGGAGGGAAGTCAGGTCATGGCGAGAGCGTCCAGTTAAGGGCAGGTGATGAAGGCGTGAAGTAAGACAGAGGCAACTGGAAGGGAGAGGTTAAAAATAATAATAATAATAATCAAGATGATAGGCGTTTAAGGGGCATGCTTCCCAGATCTGTATCTCTCTCATCCTACTCTCCAAAAAAAATAAAGGAAGTTGATGAGGAATGTACAAAAGATTGATGAAGATCAGACTGAAACTAGAATCCTGTCCATTTGTAGTGACCTCAACTCTATACTGGGGTTTTTTTTTTTCATACTGGAAATTTCCAGCAGCAAATAAGGTGAAGAGGTGGGGAGACCTAAGCAGACCCTGGAAAGAACTTTCCCAGAGGGCAGGAGTGTACGTAGACGCTGGCCACAGGACATTCGCCTCCTGACACAATCCCAAGTTTCCTGCTGTAGGCTTCAGCCATTTGTGACTTACGAACACGAGACTCATCAGTACCAGTAGGATCCAGAGCCGTCGGAATTCAAGGGAGGCAAAGCATAGGGTTTGGGGTTTCCATAATTAACTGCTGGGTTACAATGGGACAAGAACATTGATGAGAATATCAAATATAGAACTTGATATTCCGAATGTGCAGTTCTGTCTACCAAGAAAAGGTAGTGCCCTCGATCAGTGAACAATGATGCCTTGTTCTTGCAGGAGACTCCATACTGTAAAGATAAATTTCTCCCTCAGTCTTTGCTACACAATCTCAACCCAAACCTTAACTGATCATTTTAAAACTAAATGCAAGAGAGCCATAAATCTTGTTTGAAAAAAAAAATATGAAAGAATAGGTTGGAATTTTCCCTCCAAAATACCCTGGGGATTTACAGTATAGATCACAGTCATCGCAGTGGGATGACAGGTGCAGGAATAGATGGAGCTAAAGGGAGCGCAGATTAGAGTCCAAATTGAAGTGCGAGTGTGTATGACCAAGCAGTACATGACAAAGGCACGAGCCTAACTCCTTGTGCCGGAGACATCTTGGGCTCAGATTACCTGGCACACCGCCTGGTGGCTCTGCAGGTGCTAAGTGCAGCTTTTGCCCCTTGCTACTGGCATGCGAGGTGGCCAGGCTTTCTTTTGGAGCTCGCAGACATTAAGCCAGGATATGGCGACAACTTTTTCTTCCCCCCCGAATTGAAAGGCTGCAGACCCTCCTTTACTTGGTACAGCATCCGAATAAACCTGAGGAGGGAAGACTGGCCTGCCTTGACAAGGTCACTTCTACATGTTTGTGGAAACCAGAATTAATTAAAATGGTTTGGATACATTTCTTGAGATCCACCCTTTTCTTTCACACACTGTCCCTGAGTTTTTATGAATTTTAGGAAGCACCTTGTATACAGGGGCCTGTGGGGGAGCATCTGGTGTCCCGTCGCCTGGTCGCTGCTGCTGCTGCCACCCGTGCTGTTCTGTCTCTGGGTCTTCCACGGATGGGGCAGAGGTGGGGGCAGGGCAGGAATGAGTAGCATCTCCTTCAGCGCAGATCCATCGTGTTAACCACTGTCACCATCTGCACTACCACTGCCCTGCACCTACGCCAGCCCCTGCCTCTCTCTCTCCTTACTGCAACTGCCCCTTACCCAGCTTCCGTGCTTTTGCCTTGGACCTCCGGAGTCTGTTTTCAATAGGGTAGCAAAAGTGATCTTGTTCCGTACTTAACTCTTTTTTATTGTTTTATCAAAATCCTAGTATAATTTTTAACCTCATTCATAATAAAATTCAAAATGCTACAAGGGCCTGCAAGATGCCCAGCGACTGGGCCCCATCACACACTCTAACTTCACATCCTGCCTCTGTTTGCCTTACTAGTCTAGACGTGCCAACACGCTGGCACCACGTTACTGTGTCTTGGTTGTCCCCTCCACTGGGGTACTCTTCCCCAGATCCCTCAGGGCCCACACTGCCCACTTCCTTCCGTCTTTGTCCTTTACACGTGCAGTAAGATAACTGACATGGTGATGCTCGCTGGCTTCCTGCCCCTCCCGCTGAGTGTGTTAGTCGGCTGCGTGCTGCAGTAACATGGGTACTTTCAAGACACCGGAAATGTAATTCTCATGATTTCCGGAGGCAGGGATGTCCCAGTCAAAGGCCTGTGGAGGGTTACCCTGTGAGAACAGAGGTCCCAGAGGCCTAAGCTTACCTTTCAAGCCTCTAGGCTGGAATGCAAGCATGGACCGTGTGTTGTCTTGTGCCACAGACCTCCGAGTCCATGTTGGATGGCTCCTGATGGCCCTGAAGGGCCGGGCCACCCTTGGCCCAGCTTCTGCTTCTCTGCCAGGAAGGATTTTTGGGTCCTGAATTTTTATCCAGTTCGTACTAATGGGCTTTTCTCGCAGTGTGACCCCATCAGTGTCAGTTTGTTTGACACTGCCTTTGTATTTTTATTTATTTGAGAGAAGAGACCGAGAAAGGGATGGAGAGAGATGCGTTATGCACTGATCGACTCCCGAAATGTCCACAACAGCTGGATCTGGGCTAGGTCAGTCAGGAACCCCCAAATCCCTCTGGTCCTCCCACACAGGTGGCAGGGACCCAAATCCTTGGCAAATCACCTGTTGCCTCTGGGAGTTGTGCATTGCAAGGAGCCAACGTGGAGGGGACTGTACCCGTGCGCTCGGGTACGACACGCAACTGCCCCAAGTGATGTTCCTTTCGTGGCACCAAAATACCCATCTCCCTCGGCGTCATTTTAAAAAAGCCTTTCTGGTAATCTCTGCTCATCTCTCCTTGCTACCCACTTCTTTCTAATTTCCAGAAATCCCTCATCATCCTAATTTATTCATTCCAATGGGATATCGGGAGAGAAGACGGGCAACACTTGGGCTAAAGTAAACCTCTTTTCTCTTGAGATTCCATCTTATGTATAGACCTTCGTATGTTATATAATCTTGGGTAATTAAGTAAACTTGAACGTAGAAATGCTTTTGAAGAAAAGGCTTAGGTAGAATTTTATTGACATATCCACATAGAGAAATCACATAAATGATAGCAATATGATTCTGTTTTCTTACAGTGGACATATCCTTCTAAGCAGCACAAAATATGTGTATCTTTTCCAGCGCTACGAAGCCCGTTTTTTGCTGCCCCCCTCGTTACTCACTCCCCTTGCTTCTGATACCGTAGATTGGGGTTTTGTCAAGCTTTGCGTGAGTGAAAGCATCCAGTATGTATCACTGTACGCGTGTCTGCTGCTGTCCTTCTGTTTTGTGACAATCTCTTGAATTGTATAATAATTGCAGTTCTATCCACTCCGACTTTTGTCTCTCTTTCCCTTCCTATTTATAAATCCAAAGGACAGATGTTGCTATGGCCAGCAGGAAAAAAACATTTAGCGAATCAGTGTTCAGCCCCAGCCGGAACTAGTACTCAAGGCAGTGTAAGTAAGTATATAGTTACACTTTCATATGCTACTGTACCGCATGTGTGGTTTCTGGAAAAGCTGTAGCTACTTTATCCCCTTACGGTTTTTATGTAGGTCTGTCCTCATCCAGCTTTTCATTCCTGTTTAACCAAACCAGCTTTCTCCTGCCTCCTGGGTAACTTATTAACAACTTAGTAGCTGTGTTTTCATATTTTCTCCTTATGTCATCATGCACATGCATATGGGTACACACACACACTTCTATGAAGAATGTTATTGGCTTTATTCCCCACATGGCCAAAGCCAAGAGTCCAGGATCCTATCATGGTATCCTCGTGGGTGTCAGGAGCTCAAATCCTTCAAACGCCTGCTGTCCTACCAGGAACATTAGCAGGAAGCTGGACTGGAAGCAGAGCAGCGGGTACTCTGACCCGGGCTACTGGCACGGCAAAGCAAGTGGCACTTAACCCAGTGAACTACAATGCTGGCTCCTCAGACATATTTGCACCAAAATTAGTCTATATTCTAATTTCTTCCATTTTCGATGCATTTGTAAAGCACCTTGTATAGATTTTAATTGAAGCTATGTAGGAATCAATCGGTTTGTAGCATCCAGACTGAAGGAGACATTGGCTGATTCTTTTCATAAACATTTATCACTAGGCTGGATATGTTACTAGGCCTCACAGAGCTCCCCTTTGCGATATGAGTACACTTGGAGAACTGTACTGGTTTGGATTCCACAGTCTAATGTGGATTACTGAACCTTTCAAAAGAGAGAACGGGAGTCTAGGAAGAGGACTCAGAGACCGGAGAAGGAGTGAAGTCAGGGTGCGGATGTAAGCGACTGCTTTCCCTGAGCGTTGGAGGTTCACTCTGCAAGAAAACTCACTTCTTGAAATTAGAACCCAGAAGGTAGGAGGATGAGAAAAAGGAAGATTCATGGAGAGACATAATTAAAGCCAGAATAAACAATCAACTTTCTACCAGAAACCTTCAGAAATAGGATAAAATGTCTTGGGGTTCAGACAGACACTTGGAAGTGTGCCATGAAGGTTTCAAACCAGGAGCCGGTGACTCAGCCTCAACCACTTCAAGGTCCCTTTCCGCCCGGACTGCTGTGACTGCCCTGTTGAGTTCAATCTTTCATTTTTCTTACTAGACAGATCTTATTATGACCATCATTGTTCATGGAAGATGATTGAAAGTGAAACCCTAAACCAAGAAGAAATAATTAAAGAACTGGTGAGTCCAAGTCAGATTTCTTTTTAACATTTGTAACCCTCTTTGGGGAAGGTCTTTTTTCATCCTCCTCTATGGAGCTGGGGGGGGGGAGGTAACCAATGATTTCATCTACAACTTTTGGAAGTAGAGAAAAAACTCGTGTGTGTGCTGTGACTGTCTGCCTTGTCGGGAGTACGCAGCGACATCAGTGCACTTGGTACTTTATAATGTCTGTTGGCCAAGGTCGGTTTAAACTATTTAGCCCCATGTCTTTCTTTCAAAACAGTGTCTGTGCAATGGTTTATCATATGAGGTGGTTGGAAAACAAGGATCAGATACTTCGAAACTGGAGATGTTTTTTTCAGGGTATCCCCGAATAGTCGGATTATCATTATTTTCTGATTTAACAAGTCTTACGATTGTCGCCCAAGATATAAAAGAAATCTCAGGTTTGGAGACTTGCTTTCACCTTAAGGAAGTCTGGATTGCTGAGTGCTTCATAGAGGTAAGTTGTGAGATACAACACACAGGAATTTTGTATCCTGAATTTTGGGATTTGGAAAAGTAATTCGTTTTAATACATATGTGAAATATATGTGTGGGTCAAGATAGATAACAGCTGATCTCTACCAAAAAACATAAATAAGAAATCAAAACACACACATAGGCTATTCCTCAGTTACCGAATCATGGTATTGGTTCGTAGAAAAACTTGTTCACTTAGATGCTACTAGTTACATTGAAGTTCCAGCATCTACTTTGAAAAGCCTTCTTGCAAAATAATTCAGAAGTCACAGAAATATTTAGACATTTTGATTCAAAAAAATTCCTATTCTAAGATTTTGTCCCATGGAATTAATTCAACAGCAAAAATCAACTTGTATGTATGCAGCTGTTGATTACAGTATTATTTGTAATAACTAAAAATTGGAAACAAGCATATACCACATAGGGTAATTTGAAGAAATGAATGTAAACAGGGCCTGGCGCGATAACCTAGTGGCTAAAGTCCTCACCTTGCACACGCTGGGGTCCAATATAGGCACCGGTTCTAATCCAGGCTGCCCCACTTCGCATCCAGCTCCCTGCTTGTGGCTTGGGAAAGCAGTCGAGGATGATCCAAAACCTTGGGACCCTGTACAAATAAATATAGGAGACCCAGAAGAGGCCCTGGGCTCCTGGCTTCGGATTGACCCAGCTCCAGCCATTGTGGCCACTTAGGGAGTGACTCATTGGATGGAAGATCTTCCTTTTTCCTCCTCTCTGTATATCTGACTTTCCAATAAAAATAAATAAATCTTTAAAAAAATTAATGTAAACATAAAATACTTTTAAATTATCAGAGATTATAACCTTAAAACCATAAAACATTTTAGGTAGACTGGGAGTGGAAAACAAAAACAAACATATTAGCGTTATGATTGCAACCATATAAAATATTTGTAATTAAAATAAAAGGAAACATGCAAAATTGAAAATAGCTGTATTTATATGGCAAGATTATATGTTTTTTTCTTTTCAAGATTTTAGTTTATTTTTTCAGGATATTGATTTTGTAATAAAATGTGTTCACATGAAAATATGCTTAGAAACATACTTTATTAGAAGAATTAAAGATGAAATCTAAACTAACAGTATTCAATCTCCTTTTTTTTTTAACAGAAAATTGGAGGTCTTCAGAAATGTAGCAAATTGGAAAAATTGTATTTATATTATAATAAAATTTCCAAAATAGAAAATTTAGAGAAATTAACCAGATTGGAAGTTCTTTGGCTGAACAACAATGCAATTAAAACTATTGAGGTAAAACCATCCCTGTGCTTTGTGTAGGAGGCAAGCTATTATTGCAGTGTTTAAATCATACTTTCCAAGATCATGTGTGACTAAGGGTCAGAATATTCACAACCAGCGAAATTACTGTTAAAATAACAAACCTTTTGTGTCACTTGGAAGAGGATCCATAGGCTTCAATGTCTCTACCCTTTACAAATGCCAAGGAATTTACTGTCCCTTAAGAGTGAAACGGGAAGTTTGGAGAAGTGACGTTGTAAACCCACTCTGCGTGTTCCTTCTCTTCCCTCTCTGCTCCTGCCCTGGTTCCCTCCCCCACTGATTCTAAAGTCAGCAAGCCGGTCTGATGGAGACAGCACCTTCCCTTGGCACCCAGCCAGCACCCAGCACCCAGTCCTGACAGCACAGGAGAACTAACCAGAGTGATTAGCCATGATTTGTAAATGTGAGTTTTAATGATATTTTCACAATCATTTGTTGTATAAATTTTAGGGCTTGCAGACTTTGAAGAATTTAAATGATCTTAACCTTGCTGGCAATCTAATAAGCAGCATAGGTACGTAAACTTTCTTTTTGTAATCTGACATGATGCTATTATTTATAATTTCCCGTCAGTACAAAATAATTTGATTTCTTTTAGACTTATACATAATGTCTTTGCATAGCGTTATAAAGTCTGTGATTATATGCAATATGTAATTAGTAACCATTAACCAGTAATTAGTAACTATTAACCATTAACCGCTGGGTTGCTAACTAATGCAATGCCCTGCTAATATTATTTATATGTAAGAAATGATGGCCATATGCAACACAGTTAATGGCATATATGGAAAAGTAATGTAATTTCTGTTTCATCTTGTTTTTTAAATTAAAGGTAAATGTCTTGACCCTAATGAACGCTTGGAAAGATTAAACCTCTCTGGAAACCAAATATGTTATTTCAAGGTATGTTTTAAATGGAATAATTCATTTTTATTTATTAACCTTGGCTTTGAGTCTTTCTCCTTATAAGGAATAATTTCATTTTTTGGGCTATCTGACACTTATAGGTAATTAGAGCCAACTAACTAAATTATCCTTAATGAAATGATACTATTAAAGTCAAACAAATAACTGGTTATTTGGTTCATAGGATGTCATTTTCTTTAGCTTGCTTTCAGTGTTCCTGTCTGAATCTCCGAAATGAGTTCTTTTTAAATTTTTTTTTTACTTCTTTTTATTATTATGAATCTCCTAAGTGACTTCTTATCCTCTTTTGGCACCTCAGTGATGGATTACACCCTGTCAGTTCTGTGGTCTTTTCTCATTTTTGTCTGCGTTCATTCTCTAAATAACCTTGTGACGCCCTTCTGACCTTACATAGCATCTATCTGCCGATGAAATTAGTGACTCAACTTTCCTTGACTTCTCCTTAGAACTGTAGACATCTACTCCAACTCAAATTGTTTCCACGCCACCACACTCCTACAGGTGCCTCCCTTCCTTCTCAATGGCTTAAGCGCTGGAGCCAGGAACCCGAAACCTAGGGCCAGCAGTCTGGGGTGCAGGTGTTCCCGTCTCTAGGCAGTCACTGACCCCCAACAGGCAGTTGACAAGATTTTTCTGCAAAGGTTTGATTTATTTAGACCCCATGACACATTGCTCTTTATTTTTTTCTCATACTTAAAAAGTGTGAATACTGTTCTTGGTTTGTAAACTGAGGCCAAAACCCATATGAACCCCTGGCTTATAGGCTTCTGAGTGAGCAGCTGGCCACAGGGTTGATACATTCAACAAGTGAGCTCCATGGGGAACGGCTCCTAGGAGGAGCATCGCCTCACCTCTTGAAAAGGAAGCTAGCTCCCAGTTGGCACTGCTACATGAAAAGAATTAGAATACACAATAGGATAACGCTCAGTGTACTGACAGGGGACAGAGTGAGTAAAGGGTAAACATGAGGCAAGGTCTGGTGCATTTCACAGTTTCAAATGATTCAGAGTAACTGAACCATACACTATTAAGTCCAGCCCAGAAAAGAACAGGCTGAAGAGCCAAGGCAGGGCCAGGTGGCAAGTCCAGAAAAGTGTAACCCAGGACAAGCACCAGGAAGTACACTGGTCTTGAAGTACAGTAAGCAAGAACAGGAGCCTCCATGAATAGTGGTGAGAATCAGAAATCCCGTGGTGACTGCTTGTGATGGAATGGGAAGATGATGAGCTGTATTTCTAGGTGGCAACTGTAGAGAATGGGGTGAAGGAACCAGAGAACTGCGGAGGCTCAGGAGCAATTATCAGCAAGAGTGGCCGTGCAAGGGATTATCCTAGCAAAGAAATACCCTCTCATGCTGCTCCAAAGTTCCCGCTGCAACACGGGGGTTAGCGAGTAGCTAACATGCACAATTGTGTGGTCTAACGCTTCATCGCTGTTGAGCTGCTTCTCAAGATTTAGCTTGTTATCCCCTACAGACAAACATTTTAGCCAAGTCATTTTAATATGGTTAAGCACATAATCAGAATGCTTTTTATTAGATTATGGGTACTCTGAAATCAGCCATTGCCGCCTCTAGAAATAACAGCTGCAATTAATTAATTAAAGATTTCTGTTGTTTTAGGATATTACCAATTTAGCCAGGCTGTCTTGCTTAAAGGATTTATGTCTGAATGACCCTCAGTATAAAACCAATCCAGTGTGTCTGCTGTATAATTACTCCACACATGTGTTGTTTCACTTGCCTTTCCTTCAAAGACTTGACACCCTCGATGTATCAGCGAAGCAGATCAAGGAGCTGGCAGACGTAAGTGCATCTCTAACCAGGTATCCGTGACTCAAGTTTGCTAACTAACTGCTTCTTTCTGGTTGTGCTTATAGAGCAGCATGGAAGGTAAGATGATCAGGTTGGTTTTTATTAGCAATTCTACTTCTGTCCAAGTGGGCTGGGTAATCCACATAAAAATATACAAATAACCACATTACTCCTAGAATTTGAATTTTTGATGATAGCACTGGAAATGGAAGTGGTCGAAAGATATTGTAAGCTAAAAATATATATATGAGGAAAGGGAATTTGAAAAAGTACCACCAGTAGGAAAAACATTTGTGCTGTAAATATATAATTATAGATTAACTAAAACCGGAAGTGTAGCCTTTTGTATGTAGTATTATATAACAAAATTACAGCAAAAAAAAAAATGTCCTTAGTTAATGATGGTAAGGCATTGCTAGAGTTTCAACTAATTAAAGCAGGCTGGGGATTCCTGGAAATGGCAGTGAATCTCCATACCCATGACATCTGAAATCCTGAAGACAGTCTGGGTTGCCACAGTGAGCCTCCGATGCGGGGGTCACTTTGATATGCCACTGAGGGATTTCTCACTTCACAAGGAGTTCCTGGGAGTTTCAGTACTTGCTAGTAGTCTTTCCACATTACACTTCTACTGCTCCTTCCAGTGCCGGTTACCTTTGCTCAGTTTGTTCATCCGACTAATCATCCAGTCATTGTTTTGAGCAGCTAGGTGCATCAAGTTCATGGATGCTCCCACACAAGACCCTCTTGTTTTTCCTTGTGGGTCATGCATCATCTCAACATAGGTAGGAAATGTCTTTTTGAAAGATCGTATTTAGCTTTTGCTGCTATCCTTGAAGGTTCATTCTCATATCCTAGTCTTATTTTTTTCCCCGTTCAGACTGAGATGCTTTCTTTTCCATGCTCAATCCAAGAAACAGAGTAGATAGCATTGCTGAGCGAAATGCTAGCATTCCTGTCTACATGTTTGGAGGACCAGGGAGGAACAACTCCAAATAACACATCAAAGCAGGTGGGGAGTTTGGCATATCTGTTACGGCAGTGCTTGGGGTGCACAAATTCCATCTTGGGATGCTTTGGTTCAGGTCCCAGTGGAGTTTCCGATGGCCGTTTGCTGCTGGTGTACTCCCCGGGCGGCAGCCGGTGATGGCTCAAACGCTGGGTTCCTCTGCCCTTTGTGAGACACCTGGCTCGAGTTCCCAGGCCCAGTGGGTAGGAGGTTCTGTGCCCTGCCTTTCATGTCACTGGGATCTTGATTGCTTACACTAAATGCATCACAAAGGAGTTTACATCTATAGAAAACTGCACAGACCCTCCAGCTTACCCGGGAGAAGAGATATCCTGGTTAAAAGAGTGCCTTGGGGGTGCGTGCTTCATTGGCACAGCACGGAAAATGCTGTTTGGTGTCCGTGTCCCCTGCCAGACACAGCCCTTGAGGCTACCTGGCAGCTTTGTCTTCGGGGGTACCCTGGAAGGCGCAGGTGATAACGGCCAACGCGGAAGGCATGGCTTGCACTCCAGGCTCCTGGCTCTGACTTGGTCCAGCCTCAGCTCTTGTAAGCATTTTCAGAGTGAACCACAGAGCTCTTGTCCCACCTTCTCCTCACCCCTGCTGGTTCTCTTTTTGTTTCCCTTTCAAGTAAATACATATAGCTTTGAATTTTAAAACTTTTGAAAAAGAGAAATACCTTCATTATTTTATATGCATTAAATCTGTGTCATTTTGGATAGTTTACGTGATTTATGTTTTCCTCGGTTCTTTTTGACTAATATTATTCTTAAAAACCACTTAGCTGATATGTCTCTATTGCTGAGTCTGAAACAGTTTATCACACTGAACTTAGTTATAGCTAAAGGATGAACTGTTGGTTTTGAGGAGTTCGAGATCATTAGGTTAGATTGACAATGTAATTTCATCAGTCGAAAACCAGTTCACTTAAAACATCATTTAGATTTGAAAACAAACAAAAAATCTTAAAACTTATTTCTTAGCCACACTTTAAAAAACGTCAATTTGGGCCTGGCGCAGTAGCCTAGTGGCTAAAGTCCACGCCTTGAATGTGCCAGGATCCCATATGAGTACTGGTTTGTATCCCGGCTAATCCACTTTCCTTCCGGCTCCCTGCTTGTGTCTTGGGAAAGCAGTAGAGGATGGCCCAAAGTCCTGGGACCCTGCACCCATGTGGGAGACCCAGAAGTCCTGGCTCCTGGCTTCGGATTGGCTCAGCTCCGGCCGTTGTACCACTTGTGGAGTGAACCAGTGGATGGAAGATCTTTCTGTCTCTCCTCTCCTCTGTAAAATCTCACTTTCCAATAAAAATAAAGAAATCTGAAGAAATATACATTTTCTAATGTCATAGCTGCTGCTCCTTCTTCTTAATGTTTAGTGAATTAACAGGAACACTGTGTCACCCATTGCTTTAGTCATACCACCCCATTAGCTAAATGAGATCAATTCTTTCTGTAGTCCTTGGATGTTCTCAGCCCAAAGCTACTGTGTCTGATCCTCTCACTTCAACATTCTCCACCAACAAAATCTCTGGAATTTTCTGTTTGCTTAGTAAGTGTGGAGTATAGAACTCTGTGTGGCCATGGTCAACTCACCAACGAGATGAGCACGCCAGACTTTCCCGCCGTTGTGTTTTCACCAATAATTCATCAGTAATCGTTTTAGCTAATCTCTCGTTGCTTGCTTTCTTTCAGACCACAGCAATGAAAAAAATAATGTATTACAATATGCGTATCAAAACTATTCAGAGACATCTTAATGAAGATATTGAGAAACTAAATGAGAGAAAATGTAAATTACAAAAGTTGCCCGAAGAACGGATAAAATTATTTAGCTTTGTGGAAAAAAATGTAAGATTAAATAATGTAAAATATCAATGACAATGTCTTAAGAAGATGGCCAGATCGGAAAAACCTTTGAATTTTCATTATGTGTGTGACTAATACTGCAATTCGAGTCAAGTTTGACTCTAAATCTTTGGCGCCAGGCTTACTGTACTCTGCTCGCAGAAACCTGTCATTTAAAAAATAGATAGTTGAATTGTGAGATTTTAAAAAGTTGCATCTTTTAACATGATTCAGAGGTTGAGATCTGTTAGACTGATTTCAGCTGCATTTTTGTGAAACACCAGCAGGCTGTGCTCAAAATTAATTTTTTGTTTAAAGTACAAATATTCAGTCACTAACACCACTAAATTATATGGTAAATAAAACTATCTCTAGTAGTATATTAAGCATACTCTTAAATTTGGAATAAATGGGATTTCTTTTTTAACAGTAGACTGAAACATTAAGGATTATTTATCTCCAAATAGAACCTGTAGAAATATAATTTAGTTTGTTCTGTAAAGTTTGAGGAAATAATGGATGATCCAATAAATTACGTTAGAAAAATGAAATATTGGGAATAAAACAGTTGGATCTTCAGTTTATACTTTCCCCCAAAAAAATACCAGTGGGAAGAAAAGATGTAATTGTAGAAGTAAAAACATAAAAGCTTCAAGAATAAATATGTAGGGGAGTATGTTTAATTTCAACCTGCGAAATAAAACACGAGAAAGTACAGGGAGTGAATGTTGACTTAATCATATTCATCACAATCAAATGTGATTGTACCAAAAAGTGCCATTAATAAAAGCGGAAACCAATGACTATTGGAGAAAATGTTCAACAAATACGATGGATAAAGTGGGAAAGCAAGTTGAAAGTACATTTTTCTTGCTTTATCTTTTAAAAAATATCACCTGGCTCCTGGCTCCTGGCTTCCGATCAGCTCAGCTCTAGCCATTGTGGCCATTTGGGGAGCAAGCTAGTGGATTGAGGATCTCTCTTTCTTGTCTTTCTCTCCGTGTCTCTCTCTCTCTCTCTTTCACTTCTCCTCTCTGTAACTTTCCCTTTCAAGTAAAAAGAATGTAATTTTTTTTTAAATAAGAAAACTTTTTTTTGGGTAAAGTGCTTGTGAGTAAAACCAGATAAAAATAAATATTCAAATAGAGAAGAGGAAAGTGCATAAACTAGGATTATGCAAAGGAATAAATAAAGATAATGATAATCATTGGAAAGAAGAGGTTGGTCTGATTATTAGTCAAGAAACTGCACATGTAAGCGTGTCAGAGCTGGCATCTGACACACCTGGTGTGCGGTGAAGGGAAGGTGGAGCGCTGTGCCAGCTGTGCCACCCGAGGGGAGCACAGCTGGTGATACGTGAGAGCTGCCCGGGAGGATTGGCAGCCCAGTAAATCTACTTCTGGCACTCTATTTTTACACACGCCCACATGTGTCAGTATTCATCACTGTGCTATTCAAAACAGCAAAATGTTGGGAAGTGTGAATGTTTAACAAGCGAAGTAGAGTTACTCATTCTTAAGATGCAATAGTATATCGCCATTAAAAAAAAAAAACAACAAGGCTTTAAAAAAAACACATTAAGTTTTGTTCTAGAATAAGCAGGGTTTAATTATTACAATGTGGGCTTTTTTCCAATAAAGTAAGAATTTACCGAAATTTAAAGTATTTATTTGAATAAAAATCTCAAGAGACCACTCTACAGAAATCATTTTATTTTTTTCCATTTTAATATACAAATGGATGTAGTAAGTAAAACCTGCAAGCATGAAAAATAATAGCAATAGTTATATAAACTATAGATAGGCATAAAGTTTAAATTTGTTCTACGGCAGATTTATTTGATTATGGAGAGAGTATTAAGAATATCTATTTACATCTAGTTCCCTCTAATTTATCTTGAAATGCTCAAGACTTGGATTAAAATTATGCAAATGAGCTTTTCACAGTGGACTCAACATTTAAGAATCTCAGTAATTAAGATAAATAATATTCTAATTAAGTATTTACTAATAATATTTAATTAAAATAAATATTTAATTAAGTATCTTTAAAAATCCAAAATAATGCAAGTCCATTATTAACAAAAATTCCAAAACTTAAAATTAAAATCAATGCTATTTTGAGCTATGTAGGAGAATGAATTAGAAGGAAAAATGTGCACCAGATATTTATATTTTTGGTTAACTTTTCCCAGAACACCAAAGCATTGGGGCAAAAAATGAAAAGTAAAAAAATCAGCATGCTAAAAAAAAATCACATGATTTGAAATTTAAGCATTTATTATCAAAGCAAGCTCTTATTATAATTGTGCGTTTGGTTTTAGTAGAAGCAAACATCAAGGATACTTAAAACATATTGCCTTTTTTTTCAATTGAGAAACTTCCATGTTTGAAGCATTTAAGGCTCTCTCTTGCCTGAAGTTGAAGTCATGATTTTGAAAGACTCTTAGGAAGCTTGTGTTAATCACCTAGATTTCTTCTTTGTGCACTTGAATTAACTATGCGCTAGAGCTACCGCCTGATCCAGCTATTTCACTACTGAGTGTAGCCAAGAGAAATACAACATGTGAAAGGGACGTCGGCACCCCATGTTTATTGCAGCACTGTTCATAGTAGTCCAGACAGGATGTAAGAAAAACGTGGCGTATACCAGTGGAATGCCATTCACCCGTAAACAGGACAGAATCTTGTTGTTTGCAGCATCATCGGTGGAACTGGGGGTCATTAGGTTAGGTGAAATAAGCTGAGCACAGAAAGACAAGTACCACATGGTCTCACTCGTATTTGGAATCCAGAAGAGTTGAGCACGTTGACATTGGGAATAGCATGGAGGCAACCGTCGGAGAAGGCGGTAGGAAAGATTTGGAAAATGGAATTTCATGGGTACGAAATTAAAGGTAAGTGGGAATAAAAAGTGCTAGCGTGTTTTCAGAGTAGGGTAACTATAAATACTGTATTACGTAGGTAATTTATTTTGAGAAGCAGAGAGAGCGACAGCAGTCCCTTCTCCTGGTTCTTTCCTCCAAATGCATGCAGTGAGCGGTGCCAGGCCAGTGCCAAAAAGTCAGCAGTGGCAAGGCCATCTGGGTTTCCCACGTAGGTGACAGGAACCTAATCACGCGAGTGTCCAACGTTTATGTTAGCAGGAAGCTAGGATGGGGAGCCGGAGCTGGGAATTGAACCCACTCGCCCCCGTATTGTATATTTTTAAAAGAAAGGATTTTGAATGTTTTCACCATAAAGAAATGGTGAACATTCGGATAGATATGTGTACCCTTATTGGAAGCTACACATTGTATGCACTGTAGAACCATATAATATGTACAATTTCTAGGTGTCACTTCAAAATTTTAAAAATTATTAGAAAAAAAAATAACATTTGCTTAATAGAACTCACGTGAAAATGATTTATGGACTCAGATTTTGCCTTTGTCGTGTTTTATCTCGTTTTTGCTGTCTGGCTCCTTGTTTTCAAAAGTTGGAACGGGAACTAGCCGAACTAAAAGGATCTTGCAAAGGGCACAGTGATCGATCCATTAACAATAAATTAAATGAACTTGAGAAATCAAAGAATTCAGAAACTATTACAGAAGAGCCAACTCTTCAACAGAAGATACTGACCAAACTCAATGCCTTGAATGAAAGGGTCACATTCTGGAACAAAAGGATTGATGAGTATGTTTAATGAGTTATCTTATTCAGATCTGAAACATGAGTAAACATATTTTGGGTCACCCTTGGAGCTCAGTTCCCTTCCTCAGCAATGAAAAAAAAAATGACAGTCTGGAAAAAAAAAAATGTTCTTAGTTTATGCACCTCTCATTGGTGCCAAGCTGACCAACAGTTTTTTGTAGAGGTGGAGTAGTGAGCCTCCTGTAACGGACATCCTGCCGGGGTGACTGTAAGCCAAAAATCGGAGAGCTGCGTGTACCGGGGCTGAGACCCTGCAGAGGAGGAACGTAGCCACCTGGAATTGTGTATAAACAAGTTCAGGTTTAATTGTCAAGCAAATATATACAGAAAGCAAGAAGAGTTAGCAGAGTGTGTGAATTATTTTATCTACTAAGATATCAAGTTGATTAAATAATTTAAGATCTGAGAGTCACAAATGATAGAACCAAGATAGTCTTCTAACCTTCACAGATTCTGAGCTTAACAACCACCTGAAGTAATTTTATTTGCCAAATATCAAGTGTCTTTTTGCCTGATTGGTTTAGATGTCAACAGCAAGATTTCCACATTTTTAAGAGAAGTCCTAAAATTTTTGTATCAGTTTTAAAAGATTACCTTGTTTTTACATATTATAATTTCTAGGTGATTCTAATACCTATATATATATATATTTTTTTTCTTCGATAGAATTGAAGCGACATATCGTGCTGAGGTAAAACAAAAGAAGAAAAGCCATGGCTTGCTGATCCCCTTTTTGTTAACTGAGCTGGAGACTGTGGGGAACATCCACTTCGAGGAAGGCTCGGAATCGGACGACTGGTAATCTATTTGTTAGGGATAACTTTATTTTTTTTGAATTTTACTTCCTTTTATTATTATTATTTTATGATACAGTTCCATAGGCCCTGGGATTTCCCTTATCCCCCGCAATTCCCTCCCTCCTCACTGAGTCCCCCTGTATCATTACTACAGTAGAATTCTTCATACACAGTCATATGTCCATCATTGTGGGCATGGACAATGGCAGAGAGCCCAGCATCCTATTGTCATGATATATTGAACAATTTCATTGGGAGTCCATCTTTGTCTGGAGGTAGAGATGCATACTGCATTGTATCCTCACATCTGGATATGATAGTCTCCATTACGCAGTTACTATACATCCCCTTAAATGAAAAGCCACAAAACAAACAGCAGGAAAAAAAAAAAGAAATTAACAACACCATGAAGTTAAATAACATGCTACTGAATAACTAATGTGTCACTGAAGAAATGAAAAAGAAAATCAAGAACCTTCTTTAAGAAAATGATGCTACTGTATGATGCATGAGTCAGTGATGAATTTAATGAGAAGAAAGTGTTTTGAAGAAATGATACTAAAAAAAGAAGGTCGAAATCCATGAGATACAGTTTCTGCTGATCTTTGTTGGTGAGATATGTCTCCGGTAGGCAACAAATAGATGGGTTTTGTTTCTTAATCCAGCCTACTAATCTATGATGTTTGATTGAGGAGTTAAAGCCATTTACATTCAGGGTTAATACAAATAGGTGGTAATTTGGTCCTGTTGTTTTAGCAATGAGTTGTTCATTGATTAAATCTTCTGTTATTTTATTGGGATATTCTTCACATTTGCCTTTGTTATTGGTGGGTGCTATTCCTCTTCTCTGTCAAGAGAACATCTTGAAGTATCATTTGTAGGGCAGGTTTGGAAGAGGCATATTCTTTTAACTTTTCTTTACTGTGGAAGAATTTTATTTCATTTTCAAAGACAAAGGAAAGCTTTGCTGGGTACAATATCCTAGACCGACAATTTTTTTTTTTTCTTTTAGAATCTGGAACATGTCGCTGCATTCTCTTCTTGCCTGTAGAGTTTCCTGTGAGAGATCTCCTGTGAGTTTAATTGGCATTCCTTTGTATGTCAGTTGATTTTTTTTCATGGGCACATCTAAGGATCTTAATGTTCGGTTGACAAGAGCTTGATTATCATGTGTCGTGGTGAAGATCACTTTTGGTCATCCCTGCTTGGAGTTCTGAGCCCCTTCTGTATTCTGTTTTCTGATTCTTTCTCTAGATCAGTGACATTTTCCTTTATTATTTCATTAAATACATTTTTTAAACCCAGCTTCTCTTTCTGCAACTTCTGGGACTCCAATAACTCTTAATTTTGATCTTTTGATAGTGTCTTTCAATTCTTGAATACTTTTTTTTGCCTGATCCAGCTCTGCTTCCAGCTTTTTCATTGTTTTCCCCTGGTGCCAGGAAATATCTTCTAATTTTGAGATTCTTTCTTCTGCTTCCTTCCTTCTATTTTAGAGACTCCCCACTGTACTTTTAATGTGCTCCACTGTATTCTTCATTTCTGATACATCAGCTTTCGTTTGATTCATTTCCTGTGTGACATATTCCTTAAATTCCTTGAGTGCCTGCTTTACGTGCTTCTTGTTGTTGAAAAGAAGTTTTATAAGAAGTGTTTTGAAATCTGTATCCCCCATTTTCTCAATGCATTCTTGAGTTAACTCTGAGGTTGGCAAATACTTTTGCTCCTTTGCAGGGGAGTCTTCAGTAATCTTCATTGTGTCTCTGTCTCTCTTTTGCTCTTGGTCATTGTGCTTCTGGTTATCAGATTCTTCTTGGGGCATGTTTCTAAGCTGTGTCATCCACAGGTCTACAGTTCAATTTTACTTATTGCAGGGAAAAGGGGTGGACGATGAGAAGAGAGAGGTCACCCATGCAGCCCATCCAGCTGTGGTCCATAGCAGAAGAGAATGTCTTTCAGTTGTTGACTTATTTTATGTGGTAAGAGATGTGTGATAGTCGCTGAGAATTTTATGATCCCCCAGAGATTCCATCTGGAGCACTAGTAGAAATTTGTTGTTAAAGATTTACTTTTATTGGAAAGGCAGATCAGATTTATGGAGAGAAGGAGAGACAGAGAGAAAGGTCTTTCATCCTCTGGTTTATCCCCCCCCCGCCAAGTGGCCGCATCAGCCAGAGCTGAGCCAACCGGAAGCCAGGAGCCAGGAGCTTCTTCAAGGTCTCCCACGTGGAATGTGGGCCGTCCTCGACTGCTTTCCCAGGCCACCAGCAGGGAGCTGGATGGGAAGTGGAGTAGCCACGACACAAAACGGCACCCGTATAGGATCCTGGCACTTGCAAGGTGAGGATTAAACCACTGAACCATCATGCCAGGCCTAAGTGAATGTATTTTTATGACATCCCCCTGTATTAACCCAGATGAAGCAGGTGTTAACTAGGGAAATGGTGTTTTGACTGACATGTGGAAGGATGGCATGACAATGGCGGGTCTACAGAAATGTTCTGCTCACACAGACCTACCTAACTGCCTGCCTGTTCATCCCACATTATTTCCTTGGTTGTCCAGGATCAACAAAAACAAGTTACTCTTGAGTCCGTTCTCTCCTTCACTATCCACATCCAATCAGGAGCCAAGACCCGTAGGGTCATCTACATAATGTCATTCCTGTCCTTTGTGATCAGACAGGTCTCTGTAAGGTCCCACCACTGCTACAGTGCCTGTACGTGCGGTAGGCACCCATTGTTAATAAGTAGGCGAAGATGTGTAGATGGTCTCAGGGTCCCTTCGGGCATACTGCTTGCACAGAAGACACTCTGTGAAGAGCAAATCCCAACAACAAACCTTTATACCCATGCAGTTCCTTCTGAATTACTTCCATCCTTCCGCCCCGTGATGATTCAGTGTCCTCCACTGTAAGCTGTATACAGCCATAACTCTTTTTCAAATCTGTCAGAACTGAACTGTGTGTGTTACTGTTCTGGGGAATACCCGCTACTCCACCTGCCACCTGGTTTTATTTGCTAGCATCCGTCATCCAGGACACCTCAGCATCCTTTACTTCTTTCTTACTCGGTTGCTGCACTGCAGGTAGGGAGGTAGTTCTGTAAAGGGATCTTCATTCAGGGCATTTCTTGTGACCATTGCAGTTTCCTGCATTTCTGTGGGCCCGACTAGAAACTCAGCAGGGTTTGTTTGTTTGAGACTCCTGGAACCCTACAGAGGTATCTACTGTATAACAAAAACCTTGTCTAAAATGCCTTCATCTGCAGTTTTAAGGCAGTAATAATGAAAGTTTTGGTCTTTCCAGGACATGTTATTTAGAGGAGAGTTTATTTATTAATTTAGGCCCAGCATAATATCCCAATGTGGAGATGCAATAGGTTTCCCAATACCCACCCACCACACACACCCTCTCGGGCAGGCGGTAATGTAGCCGTTCAACAAGATCCTGAATTGATCAGCAGGATGCAGGGTGCTTGTAATACTAAGCAAATGTTTGCAGCTCCTCTGGAAATACTTTGCTTTCACAAACAAGCTTTTCAACTTCAAGGGAGGAGCGATTGACTAGATTCTGGCTCTACTCATTTTCCTAGTGAGAAAGGCAGACACTCTAAATTTGGAGTTTAAATATCACACTGAGGGAGAGACTTCTTGCCAGGAAGTTAACCCCGTAATCTTCGCTCACCTCTTGTTTGGGCTCAGGTGGGATTATCTAGGTATGGCATCAAAAGCCAATTAGAATCACTTCCTTCATTCTAACATTAGGACAGGTTGGAATTAGGACAGGTTGGAATTTTCTAAGTGTGGCCAGGTGGGAGCAGCAGAGAGCTACAAAACCCATCAGTCTGGCTTGGTTCTCTCCACTTGTTTTCCCCTTGGCCTTCAGTTCTCTGATCAGATACCCTCTTAGAAAAGTCTTCCCCAAACCCCCACCCAAGTAGCCCTCGCTCCACATTCCTGTCACAAGCCTCTCTTTGAAGCCCTTATGATTTTAGAAATCTGTTATATCTCTGCTTCTTTGATTTGTGCCGCTACCACCACCACCAGCACGCCAGGCAGGCTGCACGAGAGCAGAGATGTGCCGCTGCCTGCGTAGCCTCAGTTAGGAAGTTATTGGAGTATTCCAACCGATGCTGGCTCTTTGCACAGATGATGGCAGTGATCATGATAAAGCATGGCCACCTTAGGTTATATTTTAGCCATAGAGCCCAACAGACATGCTGAAGTCATAGATACTGGTGAGGAAGTAAGAGGGGAGTTGTTCCTGCAGTTTAACCTAGACTGTCACAGTCGGACAGTGGTGCCATGTAACGACGAAGAATGTCCAAGAGGAGGAAGTTGGGAGCAAGTCTTAAGTTCAAGAGGCCTATTACGTGTGCAGGTGAACACAACAAGCAGATAACTCAACCTTTAAGTCTGGGCATATCCAGTTAAGCTGGGTGGAGGTAAAGGTTATAAGTAAATTGCCACGTGTCCACGTCTACACATGAAACCAAGGAGCCAGAGGAATCAACTTTAGAGAGCATTCATGGAAAACAGACAAGGGACAGACTGACGCCTGGAGAAATCCAACATTTAGAGGGCTGTCGGAAGTCGATGAAGAAACCTGGGAAGGAGCCATCTGGAAAAGGAAAGCCAGAACTCTGTAACTTACTGAGATGAACAAAGTCTTTCAGAGCAGAAGAATTGCTCAATCCACATATCCTTTGGACAGAAGAAATATGTATTAAACAGTTAATGAAAAAGATAAAAGTTTGTGGAAAACATGTTTTAAAAATCTGTGTATGAATATCAGTTTTTTTTTTACATCAAAAGAAACTCATTCCCTTCCCCCTCCCCCAATTTTTTTTCAGCAAATTTTTGTATTTCAAAATTTAGCCCTTCTTGTATTTATTTCATATTTATGACTGGGTATCTTTAGAAAAGATACCCAACATATGAGTTCTAAATTTTAGCATATGTAGTTTTGTATCCTAAACATTTTTAAAAATTTATATGTTTTTGAAAGTTAGAGTTACAAAGAGATATATATAGAGAGAAGTGTACCATCTGCTGTTTCACTCCTCAAATGGCCACACTGGCCAATACTGGGCCAAGCCAAAACCAGGAGCCGGAAGCTTCTTCCAGGTCTCCCACTTGGTGTAGGGGCCCAAGAACCCAGACTGTCTTCTGTTGTTTTCTTAGACACATTAGCAGAGAGCTGCATTAGAAGTGGAGCAGCCAGGATTTAAGTGGTGCCCCATATGGGATGCCAGCTTTACAGGTGGTGGCTGAACTCAGCTAACACCAGCCTCCTTATTCTTGAACATTGTAATAAAAATCTTACTTTAAGTATACTCTGTTTTCTCATATAGGTTTACTTCATGCTACGAATTAATACAGTCACGCTTTTGTTCCCGAGACTTCAGGGCATATGGCATTACAGGATTAAAAGTAAAACGTGTTATTAAAGTTAACAACCGTATTCTGAGACTAAAATTTGAAGAAAAGTTTCAGAAGTTTATGGATTGTGAAGATACGCACGGTTCAGAGTAAGAAGTTGAATTGTCTAGTGAATACTTTTATGAAAAATGTATTTTGTGAGATATCTTTCTAGTCAAAAAGTAAACTGTGTTGAAAATATCCCATGATTCCTTTCCTGCATCCTCCGTGGCTAGGGTGGTCTCAGAATTCACATTGGGTAGAAAGGGGGTGCTTGTGGAGGTATTTTGAATAACCATGGAGCATCCGATGTAAGCAGGAACTATCCGTGGCAGAATGTAGGTTTATTGGAGCTCCTGCTGAGCTTCTGTGAAACCAGTTCTCAACCTCTCTCTGTTTCACTTGTTCCTCAGGGACCATCGGAAAATGATGGAATGCCTTTTTTACATGTTTGATCCTGAAGTGACCGTGAAGAAAAAGCAGCTGCTGCAGATACTTGAAAAAGGATTCCAAGGCAGTGAGGCAAGCAAGGTAGCATCCAGTGTCACTTAGAGTAACGCTTTCTTCCTGGTGACTGGGTTCTGCCACTGGTAAAGCACAAATTCTCATTCTTTTGTTCCACATTTACCATAGAGAAAATAGTTTCCCTTTCTCTGGTTTATACCACATCAAGTTCATTCATCGCTGTCTCTGCCTGACTCGATTTACTCCATCCAGACGTTTTAGTTGTATTTCGGGATCCTGTAATGGATGGTATTAAAGTCTTCTTTAATTGTGTTTGAATCTACAAACGTGTTTGAATCTCTCTGATACATTTTCTGGGCTCTTCTGTTGAAAATCTCCCTCTGCTTAACTCTGTTGTACTACACGGTGACTGTCGCCATATCTTTATGCCTCACTTTGTTGCTGGTGTCATTTTATCGCTAGTCCAAAATACCCAGCCACCCTTTCCCAGTGCTCACCTCACCCCACCCAGCCCCGCTTGATGACTGGGTGTTATGCCAGCACCCTGCCTCCAGGTAGTGGTTCTGTATCCTTTCCATGTCCTGGCATGCATCACACACTACTGCAGTTGAGTCCTGACTTCCTCTCGCTGCCTGTGTGACATCCCCCTGCTGTGGCTGTTTGCTACCGTCTAGAAAACGAAAATAGCAACTGTGGCTACTTGGCAGAGTAGTTAGGATTTACTGAGATAATGCAATACCGTTTTTTAGATTTCTTAGGTATTGTACACCCGTGTTCATGGTATCACTCTTCAAATACCCAAAAAGTGGAAATAACCCAAATGTTCATTGACAGATGACTTCATAAACAATTATGGCATATGTATACAATGGAATATCATTCAGCCATGAAAAAAATAATACTCTAAGATGTGTTACAGCAAGCAGAGAGTGGTGAACATACACTAAATGATTCAGGCCAGACACAGATGGCAAAAATAATATGTGGTGCTATATGATCAAGCTTTGAAGCTGCCGATGCTATTTTGTTAGCTATTTCATAGCTGCATATATATTTTAGTATGTGTTCTCTGATATGTGCTTAAACTAGTGGGTAAGGAGGTTTTTGTGGATATATTCTTGCATATAATTAAAGTCTGCATGTGTGTGCATATGTGTTTATATGTATACATGCATGTGCACACATGTTTATGTCCATCAAACAGGTCAGTAGCACAAAGCATGATAACTATGAGGTTGATGAATCTTCAGTTACAATTCAGCTGCAGTCAAGTCACAGGGTCAATATCCTTGACAGCCATGTTGGATCATAGCCACCCCCAAAATTACAAAACAGCAAATGTGCGATACCACAATGTGATTTTTACACAGTGATGTGTGATCATGGGTTTATTGGTCATTAGTCTATGCGTTATCTGAGGGGACTGTGTGGGTGATTTTTAGTTTCCATGGCTCTGAACCAGATGGCAGTTACTGTTGAGTTGTAGGGTCATGGACTTGGAGATTGAAGGGGAGTGCTTCCTGAGTAGTTTGATGAGTTAACAGAGGATGGTAGATTATGAAACCACCACTGGAAAGCGACAACCTTGTTGACTGGGACTGATTCGTCTTAATGGCCTCTGTTCGAATATTGTGTGTGTACCTTGTATCAACTTAATCATAGTTTAAGTTGTACTTGTCAGTACTCATGTTGTAGATGATTGAATTTTGATTTGGGTTTAATGTCTTATGTACCATTATGGAGTTTTTATTTATATAGATGAACAATTTCCACATTTTGCAATACAGATTCAGGAGCGAAGTGACACTCCAGCTCACCCTCTCTCTGGCCTGCGCCCCCACCCACCTGTTCCTTCCCTCCTTGTGTTTTTGGTTTACAGTGCATACTTTCATTTTGTTTTGCAGCCACATGCTTAACACTCTATTAAGTAAAAATAGCAACACATAGCAGGTAGAAATTTCTTTTAAAAAGTTAGTATTTCTCGGGCCCGGCGCAGTGGCGCAAGTGGTTAAGGTCCTCACCTTGCACACCCGGGATCCCATATGGGCGCCGGTTCTATCCCAGCGGCCCCACTTCCCTCCAGCTCCCTTCCTGTGGCCCGGGAAAGCAGTTGAGGACGGCCCAAAGCTTTGGGATCCTGCACCCACGTGGGAGACGTGGAAGAAGCTCCTGGCTTTGGATCAGCTCAGCTCCAGCCTTTGTGGCCAGTTAGGGAATGAACCAGCAAATGGAAAATCTTTCTCTCTGTCTCTTCTTCTCTCTGTAAATCTTTCCAATGAAAATAAATAAATCTTATTTTTTAAAAAAATCACTGCTAAATCAAAGCCATAATGGGAAAGGACAAGACAATGCATCAACCTCACCAACAATTAGACATGTCGATTAGGGCAAGTCCACCACTACTGGCCAGCTGATCTATGAATGTGGTGAAGTCAACCAAAAAAAAAAAAAAAAGAAAAGCAATTGAAAAAATTTGATCAGGAGGCTGCTGAGATGGGAAGGGGTTTCTTCAGGTATGCCTGGGTCGGGTCTAGGATAAACTGAAAGCTGAGCTTGAGTGTGGCATTGCCATCAGCAGCTCTCTGGAAATTTGAGACCAGTAAGTATTATGGGACTAACACTGAAAGAAAGATTTTCCTTCTGCTGGTTCACTCTCCGAGTGGTCACAACAGCTGCTGAGCTGATCTGAAGCCAGGAATTTCTTCCAGGTCTCCTGCGTGGGTGCAGGATCCCAAGGCTTTGGGCCATTCTCGGCTGCCTTCCCAGGCTGTAGGCAGAAAGCTGGAAGGGAAATGGAGCAGCCAGGATACGAACACACAGCCATATGGGACCCTGCCACATGCAAGGCAGCCCGGTGCCGTTGATTTAGCCACTGAGCCATTGTGCTGGACGTGCATCCCCAGTCTTAATCAGCAGTGGAAAAGACTGAATAATGATGCAATGCTTCATAAAACCTTCAGAAAATAAATTAATTAGAGTTTCAAGTTGTAGGTTAAAATACTCATTTGGTAAGAAAGACATTGTAAAATATAAGGTATATTTACAACAACAACAAAAAAGTCTCCTGAGGGAAAGGAGAATGTTTTGTGGACCATTTGGGGGTTTTTGGTGGCAGTTTTAAGTTTTCAAGATCAGTGTTTTTTAATGGAAACTACTTGACCAAAACTCTGTGACAGCATCTTGAGACTCACTAAAACAAGGGAGAGAAAGAGAGAGAGAGAAAGAGAGAGAGAGAGAGAGATTGGAGGGACTAATGGCAGCAAAGTGCCACACCGTGGGCAAGTCAGCGACGGTGGTGGCCCTGGCAGCGTGGTGGTAGTGAGAGTGCCTTCCTCGTGCGTTCTGGAAGACCAACAGGAAGGAGGTGAGGTCTGAGGGGTTTTGAACGCTGAGTAAAGTGTTCACATTCATTTCAGACTACTATGATCTATCAGGAAAGGGAAGGGGCTTCCATTCTTGTGGGTTTTGTTTGCCTAGCAGACTGTCTGCTGGGTGCCTCCTCTCTTGTGTCTTCTGGAAGAAACAATCTCCTTTAGTCTTCCCAACAGCTCTCTGGATCCTGTCCACTAGGATAGCCAGCACCCACCTGTGGCTGCTGAGCACTCAAAGTGCGTCCAACCCAAATTGAGCGCGCTGGAAATTTACTGGAAAAAAAAAATTGTTCGTTTTTTAAGATTTATTTACTTACTTGTAGTCATTGCACACGGAGAGACAGAGACATCTTCTGTCTGCTAGTTCCAGGAATTCCACTCGAAGGTCTCCCACGTGGGTGGAGGAGCCATCATCCGCTGCCTTCCCAGGTACATCAGCAGAGATGCTCAACAGGAAGCAGCTGAGACTCCAGGCAGCACCCTGATGTGGTGCTGATGTGACTCCAAGCAGTTCAGCCTGCTGCGCTGTGACACTGGTGTCAGAAAAACCAGTTCCTAAAGACTTACTATTGGAAAAAATAGTGACATCACTTATATTGATTATATCTTTAAATGACAAGGTTTTGGATTATTAGATTAAAAATGCTTTGTTAATATCTACAAAAACGTTCTTGGACCAGTGCCTAATACTCAGTTTTCTGTTTGCTAGTAATAATGTGCCATTATTGTCTGAAACATTTGATGTTATTCATTGCTTTCTGCTTGTAGAAACTCTTTCCATGCTCCTTTGGCGTCATGGAGATCATGCTATTATTTTCTTCTAATTCTTCATATTGTCCTGTTTTCCTTTTGCTCCCCTTCTTGCCTCTAAACGTGAGGATAGCATAAAATTGAAGTTTACTTCTTTCTCCATATGCAGTCAAAGACTGTCATTGTTAAGGTCCAAGAACTCAGTCCAGGCCTTCCCAGAGGGTACCACCAGTTCAGGAACTTAACTGAGCCGTCTCTGCTGCCTCCTCGATACTTCCTAAGTATCTGTATTGTGCATTGTAAATGGATGGCCTATAATTTTGAACACAGCTGTGTAAATGGTTTAGAAGTTAGGCTTACGTTGGCAATGTGTTTGTAAGGCAGAGGACTGACTGAAGTAGGGAAAAGGAGATTAAATTTCGACCAGCCCATCGTTACCAAATGTCTCATATGAAGTGTGCCCCGTACTTGTGATTCTCCTAAACAATGCAATGCCGCGTCTCCCTTTGGTAAAATGTTGTGTTCTCTTTTTCTCTGTGCCAAACTTGCTTGTACTTTCTTCAAAAGGAATTATTTGCTTAGTCATTTGTTTTATTTGACGGTACAGCGACGGAGAGAGTGCTTCCATCATCCTGTTTGCTCTCAGAATGCCCACAGCAGCTGGGGCTGGGCCAGGGGGAGCTCGTTCAGGTCTCCCATGTGGCTGAAGGACTCAAGTCCTTGGGCCGTCCTCCCTGCCCTGCTGGGTGCGGTAGCAGGAAGCCGGGTGGAAGCAGAGCAATCAGGAGGAGGAATGTGTCCCTAACCCTGTGCCACAAGGCCCGCCCAAAACACACTCCTTCCTCAAGTCTCAGCTCAAGGGCTTCCTCCTCTGAGAAGCCTTTCCTGGATTCTCAAACTGTAGGAACCTTCTTATCTGGTTTGAAAGTTCATTTGAAAAGATCAGTTAGAGATCGGCAAATTATTAATATCCTTCATTATAGCTCAAAGCATGAACTTCTAATTCATTTGTCATGTTTTTACAGAGAGCCAAAGTCTAGGAAAGTGGCATGATTGATTTAGCCACATGTTTAGTAACTTTATTTCCTTGTTAAGCACTCACAAAAGAATTAATTTTTGTTTTGTTTTTAAAGATTTATTTTATTGTTATTGGAAAGTCAGATATACAGAGAGGAGGAGAGACAGAGAGGAAGATTGTCCATCTGTTGGTTCACTCCCCAAGCGGCTGTAACAACCTGAGCTGTGCCGATCCAAAGGCAGGAGCCTGGAGCCTCATGGGTCTCCCACGCATGGTTGCAGGGTCCCAAGGCTTTGGACCATCCTCAGTTGCCTTCCCAAGCCATAAGCAGGGAGCTGGATGGGAAGCGGAGACACTGTAATTAGATCCGATGCCCATATGGGATCCTGGTGCATGCAAGGCGAGCATTTTAGCCAATAGGCTACCACGCCAGGCCCTTACAGGGCACTTTAATGCAAAATGTGCTAGTACATATGATTCCCCCGTGTTACCACTGGACTAGCGCATTTGTCTTGCTTACATGTATTTTGGCAGAAGTTTTTTTTTTTTTTAAGTCTTATATGTACTTTATTTGCATACCTTATTTTTTAAATTTCATTTTATGACACAGTTTCATAGGCTCTGGGATTCCACCAACCCCTGCAAAAAGCCCTCCCCCCATATTGACTTCCTTCATATTGTTACAGTAGTACAGTTCATATCCAGTCATGATTCCTTCATTAAGGGCATGGACCATGCAGAAGTTTTTAATGATTGGCTTCTATTGAATTCCTCCCACTTTTCCACTAGTTTTCAAAGAAGCAATTCGTCTTTGTTTCTCTGTCTTGTATAATGTGCATGATTTCTGTAACAAGTGCCATATTCAAGTTTGAAAAGAGAGTTCAGTGACTCTTGGTGAGAGTACAGCATGATTGGATAGAAATACAGGAGTATTCTAGAAGCTGTTGTTCCGAGTTTACACCGTCACTAAGCTGAGGGTTGTAGAGACCACGGGGAGGACAGGTTAGTCCTGCAAATTGGTAAAATGTTAGTTGGTTAAGATGAAATCAGTTGAGAACTTTTATTGTTGCACACTTATTATACTGAAATATAATCCATTTTGTGCGTTTCTGTACTAGTTCTTAAAGGGCAAGAACTTTATTGAGACGGTTACTAGCAAGAATCTTAATGATTTCTATTTTCCATTTTACAGTTATTTTTCTTTTTAATTTTAATTTTATTTTTGATGACATTTACATAGTAGAGAAGGACGCTTGCCCATGTGGACCACTGGTTAGGCTGGAAAAGCTGGAGAGGAACAGGGGAAAGTGAATGAGACAATTGTTTCCAATTTTCTTTTTTGTTTTGCTTTGTTTTGTTTTTCCTTCCCGTATCTGTGGAAAGGAGCGGAGTGATGGGGACAAGGCTGCACTCAGCCAAGTTTTTTTTAATATAAATTTGTATTGTTTTCATGATACAGTTCCTTGGGCTTGGGAGTATGCCCTCCCACCCTCCCCATTGCCTTTCCCCCACTCTGTCCTCCCACATTGTAACAATAGTGTAGTCCTGCAACAACAGTCCAGATGCCATCGTTCTTCTGTTTACCTGTATCCTGACCTTGCAAGTATGGACCATGGCCGAGAATGCAGCAACCTATTGTCAAGATGTATTGAGGAGTTTCATTAGGAGTCCATCTTTGCTTTGAAAGTGGAGATGCCACTCCAGTGTGCCTCCGCAGTGTTGCAGGTCTATCCCTGCAGAAGGCTTTCCCCTTTCCCTCTTATTTCTCCCTTCCCTCTCTCCCCTCGCCACTGTCCCCTGTGTTTTACAATAATATAGTCCTTCAGCTACCGTTTCGACTCCAGTGTTCTAGAAGCAATCTTGTAAAGCAGCAGGTAGATAATTGGGTAGATGGGTGCGTGGCAATCACCGCTGTTTCTACTACATCTCTTGAGAATAATTCTTTGTAAATGTTGATTTTTCAAAATTGTATCTGACTTTCAAGGCTTAGCTCTAATTCCATTCCCTTTTCCTAATCGTTTAAGCTCTTAATCATGTCAATGAAGAAGGATATCTTTTTTGACACATTTTGGAATGTCTTGTATTTTTTTAAATTACTAAATATGGTTGATATCTTCTCTCCTCTTAATTCTGAGCCATGCCCATGCTATGGCCTCACAACGCCACACATACAGACTGTGTCTAATGAATTTTTAGTGATGGTCATTGGAAGTCTGAGATTGAACTAGACTGAAATTTTCAGGCATGTGTGCTACATTTAAGTATGTGTGTTTTGAGAACCACCTTGGGCTTCAATAAAGATGAAAGAAAATGCAACATTTATAGGACAAAAATAATTCTCAATAGTGTGCCTATCAGTATTCAACTAGTGGTGATTACAGAACTCTGAGATTGCCACAAGCACGAGGAGACCTGTTTGCAAACCCTGACTTTGCCAACCTGTCATTTTCTCCTCGGGCATGTGACAGACTGTTTCTTAGCTCTTGTTTTCTTACTACTGAATACATTTTTGTTTGCTTTTTAGAGCTGTTTTCAGAGCAATTCGTGTTATTAGTATAACTGTCCAGAAATAAGGATGGACACAACAGAAACTGCAATTTCCACGCACCAGCATGTAGTAAGAAGCGTCTGGGTTTTGGAAAACAATGTAGATTATATGACCAAAAAAGTCATGAAGAGGAAGCCTCACCGATGTCATATCCCACCCCAACAGGATTTTCTTTTTGGAGTTGGCAAGCTTACTGGTGGAGCACTTACTGGTGGAGCACTTGCTGAGAGCCTAGCTCCTGCACCATGCAGTGCTGTCAAGCTCAACTCCGACTTTTTTTTTAGACACAATTAATAAACTTGTTATAAACCAACCTAATGCATGTGAGGTTAAAGTACGAGTATGTAAATGGCTTTGCAGGATGAAATCACATCTGGGGATTAGCTACCTCCTCTCAGTGAGTTTGGCCTGCAGATTTCTTGGCCCAAACGTAAACTCACAAAATAATAAGCCATCTGGATTGAAGTGCTGTCCGTTATGTGCAAACACTCCGCCCGTCTTTCTTTGCAGCTGCCCCTCAGGACAGAAGCTGTCATTCTTTCCAACAGCCTCAGTATGTGCGAGGGTCCCAGAATCGATTTCCTGAAGCAGAAGTACCAGGACAAGAAGCAAGCCACTGCCGAGGGTGAACTCTTCAGACACGGTAACACGCACGCGCAGCCTTGGCTGCTCCAAACCCTCAGCCTCCAGATTCGTTGGTTATCTCTGTGCCATTTCTGATACTTGGTTTTAGCAACATGGAAGATTTTTTTATTTCCTATTTATGCATGTAGTAATGCATGTTTTTCTCATCTGCCAATTTGGCCCTACTGCCAATAAATAAAGATCATTATATGAACACTAATAGGAGGAAACTCCTTTTGTTAGTCATGTATTTAATCATATGTACAATACACTTTTCGCAGCCTGTTTTCAGTATTTTATGTCACAAAAATAAACTTCTGTGGCATGCGTTCTGGTACAGTGGGTTAAGCCACAGCAGATCCAGCCACCTCTTAATGTGTCCATGTCCAATCTCCGAGTTCCTGGTTTGTGTACTGACCGCTCCACTTGTGCTGCAGCTTCCTATCAGTGTGGTCCCTGGAGGCAGCAGGTGCTTGAGTTGCTGCCACCCGAGTGAGAGACCTGGTTCCTGGCTTTGGCCTGGCCCGCCTGCAGTTGTCGCAGGCATCTGGGAAGTGGACTGGCAAATGGAAGATCTCGCTCTTGTCCTCTCCCACCCTGTGTCTCTCACTGTATGACTCTGCCTTTCAGAAAATTTAAATCCATGTATATCCACACACATACATATATATAAGTAAACATAAAAGTAAACACACACATTATTGCAGAAACCTTAAATTCACATGAAAGAGAAACAAGTACCTGTACTATTATGCGAGATAATTACACAATGTGCTCTGGAAAGAAAGCAAACCTTATTTTGTGCTTAATCATAATGTCAGGTGATAGGAAAACCCAGTTACACTTTAAAATTAGCTAAAGACTAGTTATAAAGTACACGAACTGCCTTATAAATTGTTATCGGAGGCGGTTTTGATATTTTAACTCATAATTGTCACTATGTAAGTACCTGAACCGACTTGTAGGCCGACTGTAGGAGAGTCCATGGTTGAGGGAAAAGACCAGCTCGTGTCTTGTTCTGCATGATTCTCTTCCCTTGCTTGTCCTTAATAGTGCAAGGATTTTTTTGAATGCTAATTATGTGTTAGACACCTATAGATGACAAAGATACAACATATGCGGTCTAGACAATTTCTCCTTAGTGGTGCTTAAAATACTAATAGTCATGTAAATGTATATAAAACCCTTAGCATTGCAAGGGTCATAAATGTGAAGTATTAGAATGTATAATTGGAAGAGTGTAACTGATCAAAGAATAAGGGACACCTATTCTTTGATCTTAAGCATCCAGTTAGCCAGGGATTGAATAATCAGGAATTTGGTTAATTCTGTAAGAATGGCATTGTAGTTTCCAGACTAATGATGTTCTTATGTGATGATTCATACCGAACTTTCATTTAGTGAACAGCAATCAGAAATTAAACCTCAACTGATTAAGATCACTGGATCTTAGAAAATCTCCTTACTTGTAAATAATCATTTTCTTGTCTTTAATAACTCTCCCTGTTTCCCCTTTTAATAAGTACCTTATATTGTTTTGTGAGATCCTTCTGGAATGTGCCTTGAAGAGAAATTAGTTTTTTCCAACTTACATTTTCTATTTTATACATCAAGAAAACAACAATCAAAAAAAAAAAACCTACACAGATCATTTGAATATTTTATGCATGGCAATTAGAATTCATTTCTTTGATTCATTGGTGTCTAGGGACCCTCATGCTGGAGTGAATGTCAGTGATCCAATTGTTCATTCATTCACTGGACTTTGTAGAGAGCATCCAGCAACCTGAGCTGTTGAGGCTTAGATGCTGCCAACATAACAGCAAGCTGGTACCCAACCGTTAAAAACACTGACAACAGCAATGGCAATGTTTTCTTATTTTAAGCTACTTGATTTAAAAAGTTTGATATAATTACAGGACTTATCATTGCTAATCAATGAACTTATCTAACAAATAATCATTGAACTCCTGCTTTGCATCATGCAAGGGCTGTGTGCTACCCAGTGGTATACAATCCAGCCAGAATCTTTGCCATGATTTATCAAGCCCAGGGACAATAAAGGAGGTTATTTGGTGAGATCTTAAATGAGTAATCACTAACACTGCTTTCTGTTTTTCTGTGTGCAGGCATCCTCCTGCTTACGAAGGTTTTTCTTGGCCACAGCGTTCAGGCTCCTGAACAAGAATCCGTCAGTCAAGCCAACTATCCAATGGCCAATTCAGTGTTTATTCCTCAGAAACATTTCCTAAGTATGTCTGCCAGAAAGAGAAATGGGCTTTCGTCTCTCTGAACACAAAATGTTTGTATTTCATACAGATACTTACAGTTCACTCTCTATGTAGCAAAGTTTGTATGTTTTTCTACAGAAACCTGTAACTGACTGCCAATTTTTTTTCTGTTTTTATCCCAATGACATTAGTATTTATGCAATTCATTCTTCAAATTTGATTACCTATTTACTTATGAATGTAAATACAGACACACGTGTGTGTATGGATATTCAAAAAAATGTTTAAAACACCAAACCTTTACCAGCAGATGTTTTAGAGTTCAGGTTCCTAAACGTGCATTGTTAGACTGTTAACATCGACTTATCAGAGACACTGGATAGGACAAGCAAGAAAGATGAAAAGGAGACTGAATAAAATTAAACTCCACTAGTCTATATATTTAAAGTTTGATTAGTATTTCCAGGACTAAGAAGCTATTAGAGAAAGGAGTATAAAAGAAAAAGTAACCCTCAGCAATAGAACTGTTGGACGTTATTGAGTTTATTTGTTAATCTATGTAAGGTTGAAAAAAATACGTTTCATTCTGAAGAATGCTGTGCCTGTTTTGCTTTTGCTCTAGATTCTATCATGGAACCGAGGAACTGTGACTGTGGCTTCCGCCAGTGCAAGTGGTTTGTCTTTGATCATGACCTTGTTTTGCCAGAATATGTTGTTGAATTTGAATTTATTACAGTGGTATGAATTTTTACTTCATAAGTGGGAGTTTCTTAAATAGGAAAATAGCTGTTTTAAGTCTGATCGCATTGTGCCATGTATATACGCTTCTGCACACACACATGTATGTAGAGATGGCTCGCTGTGTGAACTCACGCAATGGCGCTTCTGTGACTTAATTTTCAAAACAAGCCATGATGACATCTCAGTATTTTTATTATGCCACTGTGTTACAGGAGTAACATGATTGTAGTCTCACTGGAAAAGCTGTATTGTTGAACTGAAGGCTATAGCATAAATATGTCTGTTTTCATTTAGCATTCGGTGATCTGTCTAGGCACCTGCTGTTTAGTGTTGTGGGTTTACTCCCAATCCTTTATCATTTTACAGAGTGCCATAACATGTTAGTGCTCTGTGACCTCTTCATGTTTCAGCTCTTCATAATGTGTTGGACACTCTCGCACTGAAGTCCATGTGGGTGAATGCTTCGTACTTCTGTTGGCTGTGTATTATTCAGTGTTACTCTGATAAGACCAGCCCCTTATTCGATTCCCTGTCTGATACTTAAAGATATTATGACACAGCAAATCAATGAAAAGGGAAAAAAAATAAAATTATGCATATTAAATGTGAACTAAAATAAATTGGAAATATTACTGTTACTCAGGAATGTAGACACTTGCTGTACACAGCAGTTAATTCCCAGTATGCTAATCAGGGACTTTTTTTTTGCACTCTGGGTATTAATTGTTATACATCACAGAGAACATATGATATTTATCTTTTTGGAAATGGCTTATTTCATTAAGCATAATGATTTCCATTTGGGTCCATTTTGCTGCAAACAATAAGATCTCTCTCTCTTTTTTTTTTTAATGGCTGAGTAGCATGGTGGGATTTATCCCTGAATGTGATATGCCACATTAACAAGCTGAAAAACAAAGGCCATATAGTTACCTTAACAGATGCAGAGAGATTGATTGAAAAAATACAACAACATTCTTTCATGTTAAAAACCTTAAGCAAATTGAGTATTGAAGGGCTGTTCCTCCAGACCATCAGGGCATAAATGAAAAACTCAATGTCAGCATCATATTGAACAGGGTCAAGTTGGAGGCATTTCCACTAATATCTGGAATCAAAGATGCACACCCTTGCCACTGCTGCTCAGTATAGTCCTGGAAGTTTTAATCAGAGTCATTAGTCAAGACAGAGACACCAAAGGGATATAAATTGAAAAGAAGGAAGTCAAGCTATCCCTGTTTGCCGATGACATGAGACAGGAAAACCAAAGGCTCTACTGAGAGACTATTGGAACTCATAGGAGAGCTTGACAGGGTTGCAAGACACAAAATCAACACACAAAAATCAATACCTTTTGCATATGCAAATAATTCCATGGCTGAAAAGAGCCTGTAAGATCAGTTCGATTCACAGTAGCAGCAAGGAAACTCAGATACCTTGTAATAAATGTCTTGACTATTCTTGAACATTTTTCATTCCAAACAAAATTTAGAATCAGCTTATTCTATTAAAAATATTACTCAGATTTGGGACAGAACTGTGTTAGACAGCAGTGCTTTTAGCAAAGACATAAATTCAAAATGTGTACAAACACCTGTTTATTTCACTTGCATCCAAGGAAGCTGAGAGGTGGGCAGCTGTGCTGTCAGTGAAGCCCTTAGCCCCATGCTCCCCTGCTGGCCCTTCACGGGCTTGCTGCACTCGGATGAGTCAGTTCTGGCTTTACTCTGGGAAGGTTTCTTAGTTCCTTAATTATTCTCTTTCTTCCATTTGCTGCTAAGCCCTTTGGAGTCTCTATTAGGTCAGATGTCAGATATTCCGAATTGTTTTCCCACGCCTTCTGATATTTTGGGGGTCATATTTTCATCTTATTTTCCGAACATTTTTGTTCATAGAGCTTTCCTCAGGTCTTGATCTGCTGCAGATCTGTTTGGCTTCTCAGAGCGCTGATTAGATACTACTTTCATTTTTTTTTTTTTTAGATTGGCTTTGAAGTTTCTATCCTCTTTCCTATAGCAGCTTATTCTTTCATTACACTCATAGCTCATTTACTCTCCTACATTTAAAAAGTCTCTGGTTAAGTACTTTGGTTTCTTCTGGAGCCATTTCTGTTTGTGCGTGTAACTGTTGATCACTAATTCACATTTCCTGGCTGTGGTCCTTTAATCCCGCGTCTCTTCAAGATGAATATCACGTTTTTGTAGATCTTCAAGTGCTGAGCTTTGTTGTATGTTCTGACTAGCAAACACCTTTCTACTACTATTTGCAAGTTCATCCTCTTCTATGTGTTATCTTTAGTCATCTTTTCTTGGTAATTTCATTAGTGTTATGCAATATTTGAAAAATTGCCTTTGCCACGTTCAAGATCTTGTCATTGGCTAAAAATAGACCATACCGAGTTCACAATCTTAGGATACTCTCATAAGTTTCCTGTTACTCTCTCTTCATCGTAGATATTGCTACGTAGCTGGAAAAAGTCAGTTCATCTTTTTCTGTAAAGCTTATTTGTTTTTCAAAGAAGCAACTGAATTTTCAATACTTTTCATAAATTTTCAGGTCATGCCTCACTCTTTATTTTCTTCGGTCAACAATGTCATTCTAGAAGAAAGCAAAAGAATTTCAGAAGGATCATTATTGTCCCTGGATTTAAAATCCGATGATGAAGTTATGAACATGGAACCCAAGATCAAGCCACGACCAAAACTCATTAGTTTGGATAGCAAGACAATATTCTCCCTTGCCAAGACTAACATTTATGGTCACATTGTGGTAAGTAGTATGACAAATCAAATTTGGGGTCAGGAATCTTGAATTCGGGATCATCACCTGGCATGCAAAGTTTATCTGATGATAAGTCATACCGCCTGTGCTGCTCAGGGAGCAAATCGCATGCACTGAATTTGTGTAATTTTAAGTTTTTCAGTGACTACATGGAAAAAGAAGTGTTTTAAGTGTCATAATGATTTTTAAGATTGTATTTTATTTCTCCCAGTGAATCCAAGCTATGATATCAGCGTGCAGTCAATATCTCACAGTGTGGTTTCGTGTTAAGTCTTTGTACTCTGAATCTATTTTGCACCCAAAGCTCATCCCAATTCATTGTAGCCACATTTCAAGTGTTCAGAGGCTGCGTAAGATGGCTTCCTACTTAGCAAATGATTGTACTCCTGAATAAATAATGTTATCTTAAAATGATTAAAATGAAGACGCATAACTTCCAATTGGTTTCTAGAATCAATCAACCTAGCACATGGAAGCTCTTTACAAAAATTGATAAGAATTTGAGCTCCTAAAAGCAGCTTGCTTTACAGTATGGTAATTCTGTTGAGATGTTAAATCTACACTTACCTCTGGCTTTCAAATCTATAAATTTCAAATCTGTGTCGTCAGTGGATCCATACTAACATTCTCTCATACCACAGCGATAGCTCTCTAACTGGCTCTCTTGTATTCTGCCATTGCAATATTGGACAACACAAGGAAGCTGGCAGCATTCATATCTGTTGCTGTGCCTTTTGGATGCCATTCACTAGGTACCAAGATAAAAACAAGGTGGGGGGTGGATATGCTTCCCAAAGCTGACAGAGCCCCTGACCAGTTTCTGCTTTGAGCTCATAATTCATTCTCCACATTGAAACTTCTATAATCTTTTCAAAATGCAAACCTGGTAACATTATCTCACTTACCCTTCAGTCCTTCGACATAACACCATCCAATTGTTTTCCATTCTTTGAAATGAACCCAAAGTTTTAAATATGCTTTCTGAGATTTGTGGTGATATGAGCCTTGTCCTGCCTTTGCAGGTACTTTCACATGGCCATTCCTTTAGCGCACGCTCTCTGATATTTTCCACAATAAAATCTTATAGATGTAAAGGTTCTCCCTTCCTCATTTTCCCCTTCCAACAATTTCCCTGAGTTATCATGGTAGTACAGAACCTTAGCATCAGTTGCAAGTTTAACTTCCTGCTGTTTAAATGTATTATGACATGGTAGCTATTGAAAAGAGTCAAAAATCTAGTGTTGTGCTGTAAAGGTACGTTTACATGTTTTGTTGGGACAGTCTGTGTGTGAGGATAAAAATGCGATATAGATAACAATTTAGAAATCCTTGAAAGTCAATTAGCAAACATGTTTTGCCATGCCTTATCACTTCTAGTGATATTATAAACCAAAAAGAGAATGCAAAAATACTTTTTGAAATGAGTAAGGCTAGCAGCTAGTAGAGTAAGAGAACAAGACATTAAAATACTTTGGCCTGTTTAGAAATCTTACTTGACTATATTAATTCAGTCAAGTCATAACTGATGCATAAAGACTTTTTCATTATGAATTTGCTGTTACTGAAAAATCAGTGACATTTCAAGGGCTGCTAGTAAACATATACAATATCACAACAAAAATGTTTAAACACTCCCTTTGTGCTTTTATTGTCAGAGAGATCAAACACACATTATTTTTATTTTCTTTTCTGTCTTTCCACTAAATTGAATTTTTTAAGACTTCTATACAGAAAAATAAAATATATAAAAACAAAATATAAAAATCTCTAGATAATGTAACATTTTTAAGCCTGTATTTTATAATTATTTATTTATGTAGAATTTATTGAAAATTTGCAATGTCTTAGGCAATGAGGTATTAAGAGTTCAAAAAGAGGGAGAATCAAGATGGCAGAGTAGGTTAAGAACTTATTTAAACAGATGGAGAAACATTAGCCAGGGTGAAGCAGAGAGGACACATCCCAGGAAACAGGAGAGGACAGAATGGAGCCAGAGGGGCACAGGACACTGACAGACATGGGAAAGCAGCGGACACAACAGTGTGGTGTTGCAGTGACCAGACATCCCAGAGTCATTCTGCCAGCAGCAATCTGAAATGCACCATCGGCCAGAACTCCATCAGCAACCAGGTGGGAAGGGGCGTTCACCAGGAGCTCAGGAGGTGAAACCAAAGAACATTCTGCTGCTTTGTTTGATTTGAGACAGAGCAACAGATTCCAAAGAGGTGGTGAGGGAACAGGGTGGATTTCACAGCCTAGATACCCACCAAAGCTGCTTGGGCAAAGTCTGTGGGACAGGTTGCATATGCACTAAGCTGGGAGCAAACTCATTTATGGCTCAATGTATTGCAATGATGTGGCATCTTACTGGTTCCACCTAAAATAGGTCTCGGTGGCCCTCAGACCTAATGGCCAGCAGATCAAAAACTCCACAAGTGACACGTCAGGAGCCATTTTATACAGTGTGGCGAGCGCTTTGAGACTGCAGGGACAACACTGAGCTGCACCTGCACTAAGCTGGGAGCAAACTCACTGAGTTCAGTGCATTGTACTGGTCGCCACTCACTGGAGAGAGTGGCACAAGTGACTGCAAACAACTGTGTACCAACCACAATAAGTCAAATCAAACTAGACCTGTGGGTGACACAGCTTAGAAACATGCCCCAAGAAGAATCTGATAAACAGAAGTACAATGACCAAGAGCTAAAGAAGAGGAAAAGGCACAATGAATATTACTGAAGACTTCCCTGCAGTGGATCAAAAGCCTTTGCTAACCTGAGAGTTAACTGAGGAATACATCAAGAAAATGGAGGATAAAAAAATTTTTTTTTTAAACTTGTAATTCTTATCAACAATGAGAAGTACATAAACCAGGAGTCAAAGAAATTTAAGGAATATGTCAAACAGGAAATAGCAACACCGAAACAAAATCAAGCAGAATCATTAGAAACGAAGGACACAATGGTACAAAATAATTCAGTAGAAAATGTCAATAATAGAATGAATGAGGAAAAGAAGAATCTCAGAATTGGAAGACGTTTCTTGTCACAATGGGGAAGCAATCAGAAAGCTGGAAACAGAGCTGGGTCAAGCTAAAAATGTATTCAAGAACTAAGAGACACTAAAAAGGCCAGATATAAGAGTTATGGGAGTTCCAGAAGATGCAGAAAGACAAGCTGGGTGTAAAAATGTATTCAATGAAATAATAAAGGAAAATTTCCCAAAAACGGAGAAAGAATTAGGAAACAAAATACAAGAAGGGCACAGAATTCCCAACAAGGTTGACCAAAAGTGATCTTCACCACAACACAAGATAATTGAGCTTTCTTCAGTCAAAATAAGGAAAAGATCCTTAAATGTGTTCATGAAAAAAATCAGCTGACATATAGAAGAATGGCAATTAAATTCACAGCTGATCTCTCAGAGGAAACTCTACAGGCCAGAAGGAAATGGAATGACATATTTCAAATTCTAAAAGCAAAAATTGTCAGCCCAAGAAAGCGTACGCAGCACTTTCCCTTTGTCTTTGAAAGTGAAATAAAATTCTTCCACAGTAAAGAAAGGTTAAAAGAATATGCCTCTTCCAAACTATAAGTAACAAATGATAATTAAAGATGTTCTTTTGAATTAGAAAAGGAATAGTGCCCATCAAAACCAAAGGCAAATGTGAACAACATGCCGGTAAAATAACAACAGTAGACTAAATCAATGAATAACCCATTTTAAAATGACAAGACTGAATTACCACCCATTCATATTAACCCTGAATGTAAATGGCTTAAACTTATCAATCAACAGTCGTAGATTAACAGACTGGATTTAAACAACAAAGCCTATTTGTTGCCTGCAGGAGACACAACTCATCAACAAAGAGCAGTGGAAACTATACCATGGATTTTGCTATTTTTGTTTTTAGTTTCATTTCTTCAAAACTGTTTTTTTTCTCATATTAAGTTTTTCACTGACTCATAGATTATACAGTAGCATCCTCTTCTTCGAGAAGGTTGTTGATTTTGTTTTTCATTTCTTCAAGGAGACATTAATCATTCAGTAGCATATTATTTAACTTCGTGGCATTGTAGATTTTCTTTCTTCCTGTTGTTGATTTTGTATTGTGGCTTCTCATTTAAGGGAATGCACAATACCTGTGTAATTGAAACTATCATATCCAGATGTGAGGACACAATGCAGTATGCATCTCTACTTCCAGATCAAAGATGAACTCCCAATAAAACTGTTAAATATATCTTTTTAAAAAACAGATTTATTTATTTTTATTGGAAAGGCAGATGCACAGAGAGGAAAAGAGAGAGGAAGGTCTTCCCTCTGATGGTTCACTCCCTAAGTGGCTGCAACAGCTGGATCTGAGCCAGTCCAAAGCCAGGAGCCAGGAGCTTCCTCCAGATCTCCCATACGGGTACAGGGTCCCAAAGCTTTGGACCGTCCTTGACTGCTTTCCCAGGCCATAAGCAGGGACCTGGATGGGAAGCTGGGCAGCCAGGATTAGACCCGTTGCTCATATGGGATCCTGGCGCGTTCAAGGTGAGGACTTTAACCGCCGTGCTATCGTGCCGGGCCCCAAATGTATCTTGATAATGGAATGTGGAACTTTCTGCCATTGTCCATGCCCACAATGATGGACATATGACTGTTATGAAGAACAATCAGTAGGGCGGGGGCAAAGAAATTGAACAGGAGAAAAGGAAATCCCAGGGCCTATGGAACTGTATCATAAAATGATAATAAAAATTGTTTAAATTTCAAAAATAATTATTTTCCTTAGCAACAGTATGAATTTATTAGAAAAGATAGGTATATAATATGTGTAGAACTCTTGAAAGGAGCTTCTCAGCTATGGGAGATTAGTGGTGGTCACGTCTTGCAGGTGAGAAAAATCCCCTGTCTGTAGGGACATGGTTTTGAAAGATGGACCATTTTGAGTGAAAATCAGTGTAATTGGGACATAAGGATGCTTGGGAAGGAGAAGAAGCATAGCTTAGAATTCAAGGAAGGAAACCAAGGAGGGTTTTGGTTGGGTTTTAGGCAGCAAATCTGTGTGTGCTCCTTGACTGAGGAGCAGACTTTTGTTAAAGGCCCTGCAGAAAAACATTGCTATGGTACAAAGGAGAGGCAGTCTTCCGCCGTGGGAGATTGCGAATCGTGTCACAGTGGAGCAGCGGTCTCGAGGGACAGTGCTGGGGTCATATGTCCATGGGAAAGAGGGAAATGGGGTGACCAACAGATGTTAGACAGTGGGAACATGTCACGTCCAGCGTAAGGCATCTGCAGAATCTATCACAGGTGTGACTTGGAAAATGGCCTATCTACATAAACCAATGTTTTAAAGCAATGTTTAGATAATTTCGATAGCAGCTAGAACCTTGTTTTTCCATTGCAAGTTTTGGTTGTGTCCCCAGTGTGATGTATAAAGATGGTGGTGGGGAGTGAAAGAGACTGAGATAGACACCTGATTTTATTATAATAATTCTCCTTGGTTGTCAATGCTATACTCAATGTTTTAATACATTATCATGCTGTAGGTTATATACAAATACTCTTGGCTTAATACCATTTACAGCAGTGGTCTAAAGACAGAATAATTATGTGTACAACAGGACTACAGGATTACCCCTAAATATAAAAATACTTATATTTTTATGTAGTCTGGGCTGCGAGGGAAAGGGAGAATCATTTCTCAGTTTCTTCTGATCAAGGAACACCCTTCAGTCTCTCTCCCACCGGGTACCCCACTTGATACCTAAAGGGTTTAGGGCCTTCTTTATTCATTTGCTGGCCTGAAAAAAACACTTATTCTAATAAATGCCTAAAGACATATACTTAACTATTTTCTAAGAAGAATTTCATGCCAATTTCTGAATAAACTTAGATCAAGTGAGAAATATTAAGAACCAGACCTAGTTATAAACTATGTTTGCCTTTTAGCATCCTACGTGAGATTTATTTTCTTTTTGGCGTTGTGAATGTTACCTAAATAATTGCTTTCTTAGTTTGTATTATACTGGCTCAAGTAATCATTCTAAATGTTTTAGATATCAAAGCTTCAGAAGAATATAGGATGTAATCTGTGTTGTCTTTAATTTTTATTTTATTTACTACAGAATCTGAATTTACATGGAAACAGCTTGACCAAATTGAGAGATCTCTCCAAGTTGACAGGACTCCGAAGGCTGAATATTAGCTTTAATGAGTTTACTTGTTTAGATGACATATACCATTTGGTAAGACTGTTTGAAATCTTAAAGACGAGCTCTTAGAAACTAAGGGTACGATGGTGGCCGCCGAGCTTAATGGGGTGGGGAGATGGTGGCAGTGTGGCCAAAGGGCACAGGCTTTAGTTAGAAGATAAATAGACGTGCAGCATAGCATAAGTAGTGGTTTATGTCTTAATTAAATTGATTGCTGTCATCATTATAATGTGTTTGAAATCATGACAGCCTGTATCTTGACTGTATTCAATCTGTCAATGTATCTTGAAAAACTTTGGTGCAGCAAAAACAAAGGGAGACCCAAGGATAAATGCTAAATTGGAATAGTTGAGAAAAAAAACTTTTGAAAGCTTTAAAAAATATTTAAATGATATAATTAACTGATGAAAAATCACTGTTATGCTTACTGCTTCATATCTACAATGTGTAAGATTATACATCCTAAATCAGGAATAAAACATACGTACATGCACTATTTAATGCTATTAACAGGCTTTAGCTTCAGATTTCATTTGCAGATCAAGTAATAAGTATAATCACATTTTATTTCCACCCATTCCAAAATAATTCCCAGACTTATTTTAAACTGTCCTTTCATAAGTGTATTTTCTCACAATAGTATTTTTCTTCATTTTCTAACTTACCACTTTATATTCAACATTGAATTAACATTAATTAGTCCTAGTTCTCATCATCCAAGTTGGCATGTATCTTTCTTTGATTTATATTTTCTTTTTTTAATGTGCTGATTTTTAAAATACATTTTTAATTGTTTTATGATACTGTTGCATAGGCTCTGGGGTTTCCATTACTCCCTCCACAAATCCCCTCTGCCGCTCTGATCCCCCCAGGTATTTAGACGTAGACAGTGGCAAAGAGTCTAGCATCCTGTGTTGACACACATTTAACAGTTTCACAGGGAGTCCATCTTTGATCTGGAAGTAGAGATGCATACTGCATTGTGTCCTCACATCTGGATATGATAGTTTTAATTACACAGGTACTGTGCATCCCCTTAAGTGAAAAGCCACAATACAAAATCAACAACAGGAAGAAAGAAAATTTGTAATGCATAAAGTTAAGAAACATGCTACTGAATGATTAATGTGTCCTTGAAGAAATGCAAAAGAAAGTCAATAACCTTCTTGAAGAAAAATGATGCTACTATACAATCTATGACTCAGTGAAGAATTTAATATGAGAAAAAAACACTTTTGAAGAAATGAAAACAAAAATAGCAAAGCCTGTGAGATGTAGCAAAAAACAGTATTGAAAGAGCTACTCATCTTGCATTTTGCAAGCAGGCTGCCTTATATCAAAGATAACATATTTGTCATTTATATTTGTCATTTCACTGAGCATGATGGTCTCTCATTAGGACCATTGCTTTCCAAATGGTGGAATTCCACTCTTTTTTAAAAATGGCTGAGTAATATTCCGTGCAGTAGCTGTACCACAGTTTATCCATCCATCTGTGGACGGACATCTGAGTTGTTTCCATGTGTATGCTATTATTGACTGTGCTGCTGTAAGTATAGGGTTGCAGGTCACTCTCTCATATTGCAGATTTCACTTCCTGTGGATGTATTCCCAGCAGTAACATAACTGGGTCATATGATAGGTCGATTTTCTGAACATTTCCCGTACTGACTCCAGAGTGGCTGCACTAACCTAACTTCTCACCAGCAGTGGAGCAGGGTACCTTTTCCCCCATATCCATACCAGCAGGTGTTAGTAGATTTTGAAATGTAGCCCATTTCTTCATTTAGGTCATATTTTTTAAATTGCCCCCTTTATTTGCATATTCCTTTCAAGCACTCTTGTGCAGCTCATGCACTCATCTGGCATTAAAGAGAGCAAAACTCCTCCCCGTTGCACCTGCTGTGCTGAAGTTGCTCCTCAGACACACCAGTGAATGTTGGCTGGCTGGGGCTCTCCTCACCTGTTCTCAGGTTGGTTAGGTGATGCTCCAGTGCCCCCTTTTCTGCCCCATTTCAACATGGAGACCAAGTAGGGTTTATAATCGATGACAGTTTGTCTCGACCAACTTTTTATTTTATATTTTAGCAACATTTTATAAATTAACAAAATTTTAACATGTTAAAATGATTTAATATATTTTCTACATATAATTCTAAAATAATCGTAGTTCTCTTCCTCTTCCACTTTTTCCTTTAACTTTTGTAATAACACAACTTCAGTTTACTTTATAAGCTCAGGTATAGTGCATCTCTAACCATAATGTTCATCAAGTACAAGGAAAAAAGACCATTGTCCCACAGTAGGATAGACAAGGGCTAAAATTAATCACCAAATCACAAAATGTCATCTCATTGTTATACTGTCTTGTGTGTTTTGTACTGTCTGCCACATATCAGAGAAAATACGGCATTTGTCTTTGGGGACCAGTGTATTTCATTAACATAATGGTCTCCAGGTACATACATTTTGTTGCAAAAAGAGGGCTTCATTTTTTTATGGTTAGTATTTCATTTTGCATATATACCATATTTTATTATTTGAAATTTATTTGTAATTCATAATAAGGGGTGGAGAGGAGCAGAGGGAGGAGGGACAGATCTTTGATCCACCAGTTTACTCTCTCCAGTGGCAGCAGCAGCTGGAGCTGGGTCTGGAGCCAGGAGTTTCATCCAGGTCTCCCACGAGGATGCAGGGCCTCAGGCACTTGGTCTGTCTGCTGCTTCTTTCCGGAACACGTTAGCAGGAGCTGCATCAGAAGCAGAGCAGCCAGGACTTGAGCCGGCATCCATACGGGATGCTGTCTTTGCACGCACTAGTTTCATCTAATACACCACAGTGCCAGCTCCCCAACTTTCTTTATCTTTGTCTCTATCTGTATATAATTTACTCCTCAGTTGATGGACATAGCAGTTGATTCCATTTTTTAGTTATTGTGAGCTAAACTACTATAAATGTAAGGGTGCAGATAACTCCTGTATATCCAAATTTCATTTCTTTTGGGTGAACTTGCAGGAGGGGGATGCATGGGTCATGGATCTAGTTTCAGATTCTGGAGAAATTTCCAGACTTTCTTCCATATTGATTATGCTAGCTTACATTTCTACCTACTAAGGCACCTATTAAGTATCTAAAAAGTGCCTATTAAGTATCTTTTTAATCACATGCTCACCAGTAACAGCCATTCTAAGTGGGATGAGGTGAAACCTCACTTTGGCTGTTATTGGCATTTGTTTGATGGTTAGCACTTTTTCATAGTCTGTCCGTCATTTGTATTCACCCTTTGAAAAGTGCCTGTTCATATTCTTTACCCGTTTCTTAAGGAGCTTGTTTTAAATTTCTAGAGCTCTTCTTAGATCCTGGATATTAAATCTGTATCACTTCGCAAATATTTTCTCCTGTTGCTTCAGTTGCCTTTTAACTTTGTTGAGTGTTTCCTACTAACTTCTTTTGGAGTTCCTGGGGATCCCCTGGTCATGCAGTTTTATTATATAGTTTGTTGTGGATTTCTGTCTTATCTGTTCTGTTTTATATGAGAGCCTCTGCTGCCACTGACGTTGGCTTTGTATGTGTACTTAATGTTAATTGTGTCTATCCCAATATTATAAAAGATAACATCCCAATAGAATCACTCATTTGTAACTTCTAATTTTTTTGTTTGCGATTTGCCATAGAGTCTCATTTTCCTTAAGTGTGTACCTAACATGGACAGTTTGCATGCTTCTCATACAAGTTTGAAGCTGGTTCTGCTAGGTTGCAGAAAGTAGCCATATTGTGCTAACCGTGTTCTTCATCCTGGTCTGGCCTGCGTGTGGGTATATCCAACCCAAGCTTTGAATGTCTGTCATTCACTCACCTGAACTATAGGGAAATGTTTCTAATATAGCTGATTTTTTTTTTCCTCTGGAAATAAATCTACAATAGTCTGAATTGACAATGGAAAGACAAATATGTATGGCTATCTGCAAACCTAATCTAGATTACAACTCTAATGTTTTTTATTGAATCAATGCAGTCTTACCTTTTCAAATGTGAAACTTGTTTTTAAGGTGGTTTTGGTGTCTGGAGACAGCCAGTCAGTGTTTAGAGAACGAAAAAGTATTTCTAAAAAAAATTAAAATATGTGGTGTGGGCATTCATCATTGTAATTTGGAGTGTACTATATTGTAATTTAAATACATTTTTTTATTGAAACACAAAAAATGTTAGATTAGAAACCCCATGCAAAACTAAAAGCTGTTCCATGTTTACTGAGTACCTAGAGTCCATTTTATATCCCAAAGATAAAAATGAAAGTGTCTTCCATGTTTTCAAGGGGAAAAGGAAGTTATCTGCGGTGTGTACTTGCTAATATCGGTTCAGGCAGGTGCCACAGCGTGGGGTAAATGTCCATCATTTTATGATGAGAACTGCATGGGGTTGGGTGGACAGAGGTAAGTGTTCACAAACCTAATCGATTTCACATAGAAGAATATACCTTTCAGGCTTACTGTCTTCATACTGTTTTTACCGCCTGATATCGCTTTCCTTAAGATATCTTGAGGACAATAAGTGACAGTTTATGTTTTGTTTCACCCTACTTAATTAGGAGAATAAAATGTCAATCAACATATTTGGTTTCCAGAAATATTTTCTAAGTTTTGATCACCCCTGCTTTCAACTCTTAAAATCTGATCCATTATAATTAATGCTATTCCAACAGTACATACCTTGCATTATACATAAGTTGCTAATTCCATGCTGAACTCAGAGGTTTTTTTTTTTTTTCAATTAGCCTGTGGAGATGCCAAGTTCAGTTTTCATCTATAACAGTATTGTTTATATTTTTTAAATGCTTTACAAAAAATGTCTTAGAGTTATCACTGTCTCTTCCTTGGTCTGAATCTGACTAGCATGGAAGGTATTTAAGGAACCATAATAGAGAAAAGAACTTGTGGTTGCCTTAGCGTCACTTGTATTTGTGTGTTTTGCAGTACAACCTTGAGTACTTGGATGCAAGCCATAACCACGTGATAACCCTGGAGGGATTTAGAGGTCTGATGAAACTGAAGCACTTAGACTTGAGCTGGAACCAACTGAAAAAATCAGGGGATGAAATAAATATGTTATGTAAACACACCACAAGCCTTCTCACTCTTAATATTCAACATAACCCATGGCAAAAGGTATGCAACTGGCACGTTGATGCAGAAGCAAGCATTTCTATTTTAGAATCCTTTTCTGACTGCTTTCCAATTCTTATGCTCTCTCTGGACTCCTTAACACTATTGAAAGTTGAATTTTTGTCGTCATCGCAGGAACCCAATGTTTCTGTGAGAGAAGATAATCATTTCATGTTGTTTTATAAACAACTTATAATAGTTCAAGAGCTTAGTAAGGCTTACTAAAGCTCTTAAGCAATAGTTTTTAAGGGGGGATTGATGTCATTGTTCATTTACAAGCCTGCAAGATCTTACTGTTCTGAGGTGCAGGAACAAGAATGCTATAATATGGTGAGTGAAGCATGCTGGCAGGAAGGAACACAACTTACATACATCCGCATCCGTGGATGAAAACTGTGTCTCACAGTTACGCTTTACATTGTTTATTATTTGCATTATTGTACATGGTAAATTAAAAAATCATGTCTCCCAGATCCTGCTTTATAAAATCTTACAATCTGTTAGGAAAGGAAATGTGGTGAAATGTTTTTAGCACAAATATATAATTCATGCTAAGTTATCTTAATATTCAGTTAATGTGATTTTCTGCAAATATTTAAATTAAGCCCCAAATTTCATCATTTCAAGTATCTTGCTTATTTTGTTAAAGGTATATAATGCTGTGGTCAATATTTTAAGAGTCCAAAGAATGACTATTTTGCATTACAGTGACCACATCACTAAAATTATATGTTGCATTCCTCTTCTTTTGTTCAGTAAAATTGAAGAACGCTTTCCTTTGCCAAAGCAGACTTTCTGGGTGATCCCAGTACAACTGTATCCCTGTTGCCAACCTGGACACTAAAGGCTAAAGAGCTGTGTTGGATCCATTTGGGGTCTACTGGCTTCCTGCTGATCTAGATAAACAGGATTGCTGTAGCTGGTGTCCTAACACTTCTCACCACCATCGCTTGTCAACAGCTCATGGGATTATTTGCCCCTCTCTTAAGGGTGGAATCATCCCCCTGCAAACAAAACAACTCTTCCACATAATTTTATTTCAGCTGTGATTTCAAGAATTAAGTCAAACCTCTTTAGATCCATATCGCAAGCTGGGAGATACATGATGTTGAATCTTATGGAAAGGAACAAATAAGCACTCCTGTCTATGCCACAATATACAGAATATTCTGCAGAAATTAACATTTCACTATTTTTCCCAAGCGAAACACATTGAGACTGAGTGTTATTGGCAGATTGAAGACTCTTACGCATTTAGATGGAGTCCTCATCACTCAAGAAGAAGCCAGAGCTGCTATGAGGTTTATTGCCAGAACCAAGATTACTCAGGTTGGATTTTCCTGTTTCGTATTTATTCAGCTATTTAGACATACAGACAATACTTCTTATATTCATTTTCTATATCCTTAAAGTTTTTATTCCCTCTTAGGATGTTAATAAAAATTAAATGATAGCAGTGATTCCATGCGGTGTTCTCTTCTGTTTAGCTATAGCCCTTTAGTGTATGAATTCCCTTGATAGATTCTTGAACACTATGCCAAAACTACCTCCAAGGTAACTTTTTTGCTTAGTCACCCAAACTCACCAGAAGCCCAGATGAAAATAAATAGCTTTCTGAGGCAAAGGTAAGCTTTAAGGCTATGAGAAATCATTTAGTGAATTATTAACTTAGTGTTAACATTATGTGTCTAATTGAAAGGAACAAATATTAAGACTAGGTGAAGAAAATGCCTGTGTTATCTAAGTGGGAAATACCACACTATGTTCAAAGTAGCTTCAACATCCTAAACATCACCATTCGGGCTATTTAGTTACCACTTTTTGGTAGGATTTTTGAGTATTGATTCCTTAAAGGATGTATTATTTGAATTTGGATCTATTTAAACTGAAGACAAGTAAACTTTGTTGATGAAATTGTAGCATTTTCCAAAAAAAAAAAAAAACCCAACAAAAACAGGATTTTATCCTGCCAGAAATCAAAGTCTGCTAAAATCCTTATAGTCATAGTAATAATGAAAAAAAAGTGAAAAGATGGGGCCAGTGTTGCAGCTTAGTAGACTAAGCCCCTAGAATCCCGTATGAGCACTGGTTTGAGTCCTGGCTGCTCCATTTCTGATCTAACTTGTTGCTAATGCACTGGAAAAGCAGCAGAAGAGGACCTGAATGCGTGGGGTCCTACCACCCATGGGGGAGATGTGGATGGAGTTCCAGGCTCCTACTGTCCACTTGACTCATCCCTGGCCATTGTGGACATTGAAGAAATGAATCAACATATAGAATATTATCTCTCTCTCTCTCTCTTTCTTTGGAAAAGAAAAAATTTAAAAGGTATGTGTTGAAAAGGGAAATTTTCAGGCAGACAAAAAATACATGTTATATATCAAGAATGTATAAGAAATAGGGCCGCTGGCCCAGAATGATGGCCTAATGATTAAATGCTCACAACCGCCAGGATCCACATGGGCACTAGTTCGTGTCCTGGATGCTCCACTTCCCATCCAGCTCCCTGCTTGTCGCCTGGGAAAGCAGTCAAGGATGACCCAAAGCCTTGGGACCCTGCCCTGTGTAGGAAACCCAGAGGAGGCTCCCGGCTCTTGGCTTTGGATTGACTCAGCAGCAGCCATTGTGACCACTTGGGGAGTGAACCAGCAGATGGAAGATCTTTCTTTATCTCTTTCTCTAAATCTGTCTTCCGAATAAAAAATGAATAAATCTTTCAAAAAAAATAGAAGAAATAAAGCCACCAATCCGTCAGAAAAACAAGGAAAAGATTTTGAAGAAATCAAGTCCCTTAACTTAGGAAAAGATACTTTGCCACTTTAGTATTCAAGAAAATGAACATTAATAGTGACAGTGACATATGAATTTTTGACAGTTTTATGGATTTGAAAACACTTTCTTGCCTGTCATTGAATAGAAAAATGTGTACAGATTATTCAATGTGTGTAAAGTCCACGCAGGCAACAGTGTGACACGTTGTTTATGCGTGCAATGTCAGACTATGAGGAAAGCATGCTCACTTCCAAAGGGAAAGGAGATGAAAAGGCCCCCAGAGAGCTTGGAGGGTGTTACTGATATTCCGGCCTCTTAGCTGGTTTCATGAGTGTATTATATAGGTGTTTGTGTTATAGCCTTACAAACATTTTCTAGTAATGGTTCAGTATTTGCTAAAAACAAAACAAAACAAAACAAAAAGAATAATTAAAGCTATATTCAGATATTATAGATAGAAGATAAAGGATATACTAAATACTAAGATAATTTGTTGGGTCAGTCATCTCCCCTAGGAAACAATACCTTCTAACTATATATATAAAATAAATCTCTGAATGCAATTTCATTTACTCGTCCTGTCTTTTTCAAATTTTATTAGTTATCTATTTTGCGACATTGTAGTACTAAAGAAGAGAGACCACGAGTACTTACCATATGGCCTTTTGCAAAAATTCTGACACAAATTTCCAAGCTGGGACCCCACGCACATCTGAGTGGAAACTGGTACCTAAAGGTAAAGGCTAATTCCTAAACCTAATACAAAAATTTAAGTGCAATTGATTTCTCAAGTCCCCCTCCCTCTGTATATCATGAAGTATAAATGGAAGAAACCTGAAATAGGTTCAAATAAAAGGAGGAGACAACAAAGATCTGCCATCGTAGCAAGTAGTGGAAGCTTTAGTTATGATGTTGGGCATTAGATGTCCGGGACTTATCTGCAAGACTGGAACTTCACGCCCCTTGGCCAACAGCTCCCCGTTTCTCCCTATTCCTAACCAATGGAAAAGCACCAGTCTACTTTTTGCTTCTGTAAGTTTGTTTTAAATTCCACATAGACTTAAGACCATGCAGTAGTTGATTAACAGTGTATGCTTGTATGTGTGTGTGTTTATATATGTGGGTATATACCTTAAATATGAGCAATTTAAGAGTGTCAATCATTCCTTAGTAAATTTGGGAAAAGAAATGATAGTGTCATTATTAGAAAAATTGTGATAAATTGATCACATTCCAAACAATAAAAATCAAGTAGTAAGGTCAAGTTATGGATAGGTATGTGGTGAGAATTAAGCCTCAGTTTAGATTTAGAATAAAGGCACAATTGTAAGCTGAAGAGCAGATTCTGATGCTAGATCACCGGTGCAAACAAACAGTAAAGAATTAGAAACAAAACATGGATGATAAGGAGTAAGAAAGCTTGGCAAGGAATAGAGCAAGAGGTAATTTAGTCAACGAAGAAAGCCACCCAGTACCAGCAACTCCCTGCTGCCAAGGTTGCCTTCCACATCTTGCCAGAGATAGAAAGTAGACTGAGAGGAGAGTCCTTGAAGGTGGACGATATTAGAGGCATTATGTTTACTATGGAATATATTGCTGTTCACTGTGCTGAAGTTCCAGTAACAGCCTTGGATGAACTCACAGGGAGCTCCAGAATTAGAATGGCCCTATAAACTTGCTCCAAATTGGGCCTTAGATTCTATCTCTCCATCACTGGCTGTTGGCCAAGCTTGGAAGGAGTGTGACCTTGATCGAAGCAGCTCTCTGCAGCCGAGGCCATCCCCAAAGGGGCTGACAGCTGACAGATTACTGCTAAGCAGCCTCAGCAGCTGGGACAAGCACTTTGCTACAGTGGAATCTGCTTGGCACATCACGGGAGTCTGTAACGCCATAAACCCCCTCTTGGAATTACAGCCTGATCAAATTTTTACTTTTTTTATAAACGAAGAGCTATGTGATAACTTTAATGCCTCAAGGAATTCTTTGATATTTACTTGCCACATTTGAATTCTCACTAGCCTTTTTTTTAAAAAAAATCTCATAACACTGAATTTACAGGATTTAGAAGTAACACAGAATGTAAATTATTCTTTAGATAACTGCCTTAAACTTAGATGGACAGCATCTGTTTGAAATCACAAATTTAGAAAAATTAGAGAATTTGAAGTGGGCATCATTCAGCAACAATAATCTCACTAAAATGGAGGGACTGGAGTCCTGTATTAACCTGGAAGAGCTTATATTAGATGGAAACTGCATCTCTAAAATAGAAGGTAAGATACTAAAGATTTGTCAAGTCTCAAAATATGCATGTCTACACAAGAAAAGCATTAACTTATAACACTGAGGACATAAGGTTTCCTCATGTATTTGAGTGAGGTAAGGGAGAGTTCACACCTGCTGGTGCACCCCTCAGATGCCTGCTGTAGCTGCCTTGCCCCAACCCAGGGTCGGAGACAGGAACTCAATCTAGATACCCCACTGTCTAGATTGCAGGAACACAAGTATTCGGTCACGTACCACTGTCCCAACAGGATCTGCATATAGGCAGAAAGTTAGAACCAGGAGCAGCTGCCATGAGCTGTGCAACGTGGGCCTCTTAAAACCAATTGGCAGGTGTCCACCTTGAGAACAGCAGAGAACAATGTCCAGAGAAGGTAAAAAAAAAAAAAAAAAGTTTGGAGCAGAATATTCTATTCTAATTACCCATTATTGAAACCCAGCAAGCCTTCTCTCTTCTCTATGCTGGTGTCTCCCATCTGTTACCAAGCCAGAACATACAAACTCGTGTCTGTAAAGTTTAATACAGGAATGAATGCGATATTCTTTTGCTAAAGCTTATTTTTGATATTAATTGGTGCTCAAATAACTGTAACTATCAGGAATAGGTGAAGGCTGGCAGCAGGAGCTGAGCTGGGAGCCTGATCCAGGCCCTTTGCATCGGTTTTAGGAACCCAGTTACTTGAGTCATCACCACTGCTTCCTGTAATCTGTACTTTAGGAAGCTAGAGACAGGAACTAGAGCTGGGAGTCGAGCCCAGGTGCTTCCAAGTGGGACAGGGGTGTCCAACAGCTAGGCTGACTGCCTGCTCGTGGGACATGCTTTCAGAAAATGGTAAAGCAGCCCAATTCATTGGCCAACACAGAATTAGGATTATATTTGAAAATCTGAATACTTTACCAGTAAGTCATATTCCTTGGAGTTTGGAAAGCAAACGTGCCATATGTAGTTACAGTTTCAGCTGTCTCGTGTCTATTTTAATTTTTGTATTTAGCAGTTTATAGTACTGAAGCATGATTTTTACTGAATTTGGCGAATTTAGGATAGTCCAAACTGGCTTATAACTCTAACAAGGCATTTGTTAACAATTGAGGAACAGAACAGTTTTAGGAGGGGTGTGCAGAGAAATCTTCAATACCTTAGAGAGGAGTAACTAATCTTTGTGTCCTACCTTGTAAGGTATATGTGAGTCCAAGCTGACTGTTTCCTATCTGTTCTAAGCTTCCCTTATTGGTCTCTGTCTATCTAATTTAATTTGGGGCGGGGCGTGGTCTCCGGAGCGACCCTGATGGTCATTGCAGGAGAGGGTGAGGATCCGAGGTAGGAACTAAGTAAGGATCAGAGAAAGCTCCTCTCCCAAGTCCCGAAGGAAGTTTACTATTCTGTTTTTTGAGAGCCTCTCAGGGCTCCCAGCTGTTGTTCTGATGACATTAGATTCTGTGAGGAAGTATCTTGGGCTTCTTCCATCCCTTGTGGGAGTTCTGAAAGGGAGTGGATGACCTCAGAGTTCTTGACCTACGGGGACAGGAGGCTTGTACCCAACCCTAGAGACTCCTGGATCCTCACCTGGGACTATCAGCACGGCACCAAGGGCTATATCCCAACTGCCAAGGAGACTACTGGGAAATGGAATGCCCTTGTAGGCCAAGTTAAATGCTTTCTAACTCATTCTCAGCTGTACTACGTTCTTGCTGTCCCCTCAGTTAAGGCTTTGAACCTGAAAGAAATTGAAAGAAACCTTCCATGATTTACCAGCAACTTCCTCTGTTCTCTATTTCCATCTATTCACAGGAATAAATACTCCTGCAAATAATTAAAAAAAAGAATATCCACAAGTGTGCCCCACTTAAAAAGGATTAACAGACTGATGAACTTAATGACTGTTTATGAAGGACTATACTATTGTAATAATATGGGGAAAATAAGTCAGGGAGTGGAAATTTAGGGAGGGGGGTAGGGAGATCCCAAGCCCTATGGAGTTGTACCATAAAATTCAAAATGTAAAAATATAAATAAAGAAAACATTGATCTCAATGCAAAAACTACCAATGTTTTGGATAGGAGCTATTATAAAACTATTAGAAATTCAATCATCAAAATATAACACAACATTGAGACCACTAAAATCAGGTTCAAAATTTCCAGGAAAAACAAAGTTATTTTGTAATTTTGTAGAATATAGTTACTGCAACATAACACCAAAAATTGTCACGCAATCAACTGGGTTGTTGATATCTTACTCCGTAAGGTTAGAACTTCAAATTTTTAAGGCTTTGCTTTCTCAAAATTACTTGCTTTAAGGATGTTGCTACACTAATTCAATTTGGTCAGTATTGTCTGGTTCCTTTATTCAGAGCACTGGAAACTAGAACATTTAATAAAATATCTGTCCAAAGCAAGGATTTATTTGTTATTTATTTGAAAGGCAGAATTAAAGACAGAATGAGAAAAAGAGATCTTCCGTCTACTGGTTCACTCCCTTAAATGGCCACAAAGACTAGAAATGGGCCAGGCTGAAACCAGAGAATCTGAACCTCCATCCAATCTCCCATGTGGGTTGCAGGAGCCCAAGTCCTCTGCCGTCCTCTGCTGCCTTCCCAGGCACATTAGCAGGGAGCCGGATCAGCAGTGGAGCAGACAAGTGTTGGACCAGACTTCCTGTGGAATGATGTGCGTACAGGAGGCAGCTTAACCACTGTGCCACAAGACAACCCTTAGTGTGCACCATTTAATTGGTAAGAGGGCTATGTATGTGTTCCTAAAACAAAAGGAAAAGCAGTGATGTCTAGTATTCTAGAATCCCTACAGGCAGTTGATCCTAGAGAAAGAGTAATTATGAAATGTTCAGCGAGCTATTTTTAAACTAACTTTTCAGTACTTTTTGAATCTTTTCCTGAATTTGCTTGTTTTTCTAGGCATTTCCAAGCTGACTAAATTAACCCGCCTCAGCATAAACAATAATCTCCTGACATGTTTGGAAAAGCATGCTTTCGATAACATGCTCCATCTTCACTCCCTCTCTCTTGAGAACAACAGAATCACATCTCTGAGTGGCTTACAAAAAACTTACACTCTGATTGAATTATATATCAGCAATAACTATATTGCTCTCAATCATGAAATCCACAATTTAAAGGTGATTGGGGTGGTAACGTCTTCATTTTATCATTTTTATTGTTTATAAGGTGCGAAGAATACATGCTCAGCGTACGGAATTTGGACAACGTAGCGTAGGAAAACATAAAGAAGATTAAAATAAGACCAAGGGTTGTTACAGTGCGTTTTAATTTGTATATGTCTGCAGCCATATGTATGTGTAATCGTGTTACTCTCAATAGGAAGGCCCCTTAGAGAGGCATTTTAATACTCAGCCTAAACCCATTCCTCCTGACTAGGGTCTACTTCAGCATTGCCAGGCATTCACCAGCCCAGTTACGGGGTGGAATTCTTTAAATTTCTCCTGTTATCAGTACCATACTTGATTACCTCTCAGTGTTTGACCGGTGCCTCCCCGCCTTTCTTGCTACTCTTGCTTGCATTTTGTCTCTTTAACTCCCCAAGGAAACCTCTGCCTCAAGGCTGCGGTGCAGTACACTTTTACTAAAGGTCTGAACACAGTGGAGACTTTCTGGAGCACAGACTAGGAGCTTACTTCAGATGTCATGTGTGACTTCATGGTTTCTGAAGTTAGGTGGCCACTTGCTAATGCTGTCTCTCTTACACTGGCCCTTTTTTTTCTTCTTTTTGCTGATTCAGTATTGTTAGGATGATCTACACACACACAGAGACTTTTTAAAAAAGAAGGAAGAGAGATAGGAAAAAATGTCCCGTCCAGCAGGACAGTCAACGGGGGTCGCAACCACCTAGGAGAGAATGAAGGGGACAAGAGACACGAAGAATGGACAGCAAGACAGGATGTCTGATCAAGCTGTCAGTTTATTGATTTTAATTGAGGGTTTTTATATTCTTCAGTAACCAAGGCTCAGGGAGGAAAGGAGAAACTGGGACACAAGCCATGGTCTCCAGACCGATTGTTCTTGAGCAGCTACCATATCCACAATAGTAACCACCATATCAACAATAGCATAGGTAATCAGCAACAAGATGTCGGCAGGTACAGCATAAATCACATTCTGAAACAGTTGCTACAAACGATTGAAGCTAAGCGTGTGATTAGTTTCATAACATCTTTCCCAAGCACCTAGCCAGCCGGGGATTTTCCACTGGCCCATAGTTCTATATTCGAAATGGTTGATTTCCCAAACAGGGTTACTGCTTCTAAAGCCACAGAGACGTTTCACGCTCAGTTATCTAATTCTGTCTAGAATTTCCTTCAAAACAGATACACCACAGTGTTTGGTTTTAAGAAGAAAGCACATATTCTATTAACACAGGTTCAGCTCCCTTGCTAGAAGGCAAAGTGAGCACTTGAGTTTGACGCCTTTTCTAATGGCGGTGTCCCTCATTGCTGTTGCATGCGTGTACATATGTATGTACTGTTGCTAAGCCCTTATCCCGCAATCAAGGCAGATTGTGTACACCAGATCGAAGTTCCCAGTAAGACTTCACTGCTGGTGCCCGTCCACTGGGGTGTTCCGTCTGAATGTGTCATCTGAAAGGACAGCCCTTGTAGCTAAGACTGAGCGTTACCACACTCAGATCCTGTGACACGATAGATAAATATTACAGCCTAAGGTGTTTACCTCTTACGGGAAAGGAAAGCTTGCTGGAGTGTGATAGATGTGTAAATTACAGTATGAATTGTGTTACGTAGGGTTTATACAACTTGGTCATTCTGGACATATACGGAAACATTATTGTATGGAGTCAGGAAAACTACCGGTTGTTTGTAGTGTTTCACCTTCCGGAGCTGAAAGCCTTGGACGGAATCTCAATCGTGAGTTATTTTATGCCCTCGTAGCATTCAGTCTTGGTTGCATTGCGGAGTATTGCTTTATCATTTACCGATGGCCACACTTGCTGTTATTCATGCGCGTTTTAGATCTTGCCTGGCCAAGTTTTACTGGTCTCAATTGAGATGTAATGAGAAAGAGGGAAGGTGTGCCTTACTTCTGTACCCACTGAATCCAGTGTCTAGCCAGTGAAGAGCATCAGCAGCCAGCTGGACTAGAAGTAGAACAACCAGAACTAAGGTTAAATATAAATATAGTGTTTGTGTGTATATGAGAGAGAGAGAGAGAGACAGAGAGAGAGAGAAAGAGTGTGTGTATAGCAAGAGGTTAAGCTGTACTTGGGAGAATTAACTAGAGAGAAATGAGTCCACTCCATTTTTATGGAGCAGTTAACGTGATTCTGTCGTCTTTAAGAAAGGACGTCACTTATTAACTCTCATCATATAGGATCAACTAGAGACCGAGTGTGCGAAAGATTTGTTTGGTGGCAGACTGACTTCTGACATGATTTCAGAAAGACAAGGACATTCCAACTTCGTCCAAATGCAAGAATTAAACTGGACTTCCTCATCCATCAGGTACAATAATTCTGTTCTCATTTATTTTCCATGTTTTAAACTAACGTATCGATGGTACGTATTTTATGAGGTTCCATGTAATTTTTCCATACATGTATAAGTTGTATAATATTCAAATTAAGGTAAGCATATCTCAAACACAATCATGTTATGTGCTTTTAACATTATAATTAAATATGTAATTATGGTTGTCTTTCTGAAGTTTCTACATTTGGACATCCTTTTTTAAAACTTATTTTATTTGAAAGACAAACACATGGTGATCTCCCACCCACCTGTTCATTCCACAGTAGTCAAGTCTGAACTGGACTAGAAGCAGAGAATTCCATTGGGGGCTTCCCCATGGGTGGCAGGGATCCAAGGACTCGAACCATCTCCCGCTGCTCCTTAGGGTAGCCATAAGCAGAGAGTCTCAAGCAGGAGCCGAGCTGGGATACAGCACGCGGCATCAGGCACAGTGCCGGACACCTGTCGCCACCTAAATATAACAACTTACAATACAATCCAAGATCTTGTGATATCGCTAACATAATTTGAAATGCAGTAATAATTCTTATTGTCAGAGAGTCATTTAAAATGTCAGGAAGTATGCATTTATCCTTGCTCTTCATTTGCTCACAGCTCATGTTGGAGTGCCTGTGCTTGATTTTAAACCCTGGGTCCTGACTCACACCTCCCACTAGGCAGATCCTGGGAGGCAATAATGATGGCCTCCTGCCATGTGTGTGAAAGCCTTGGGTGCTGTCCCCAGACCTTTGCTTTGTACCTGGCCTGGCACTGCCCAGCTCTGGCCTTCACGGGCAGCTGGGGGGTGAACCAGCCAACAGCTCTGCCTGTATGTGCGTCTCTGTATTTTTCTGCTTCTCAGGCAATAGATACTTTGTGTAATTATCAACTTATTTCTCAGATTCTGTGTTTCTCTTTTACTTTACAATCAAATGTTTAACGTCAGAACATACTTGGTGGCTCTTCCTATGCTACCACAGAAATCCAGCCAATGCTATCTTATTTCACGGCTGCTGTCACTTCGCCTCCTGGTCAATTTCTGAGGATCCTGTTTAGTTCTGGGACTTGTCCTCTCTGACACATATGAAAATGTTGACTTCCCTTTTCATGTACTTCTGGTCTCCACCCGTACCCCAGCCCCCCCGTACTTTCATATTACTGATTTTTCTATGAACTTGTCATGCTTCTTTTGAGTTCTTACTTTGTGAGTTTTAGCCTGTCCTCTCCTCTTCTTTTCCCCTTCTCTGCTGTTCTCTTATAATTCCTTCCCCATGTCTCTCATGTTATTAAAATTCAATACTCTTTGTGGATAGCCCTACCTTTAATTTATGTCCATCTCCGTATTCATCATTTTTAGCCTTCCTCTAAATTGTTCTCTGGGAGGTAACACCTACCTGGAGTTGCCCAAGCTAACAATCTAAGGAAAATCTGAATGATTGCTCTCTAACCTTTGTCCTTCATTTTCAATTCATCATCGAGTTCTGTAGACTATATGGTGGCGTATGTCTCACAATTCCTTTATCTTTTCACTGTCACTGCTGTTGGCTTAGGTTCGGCAGTGAGTCCATTTTAGAAACTCTGTTAGTGGTCTGTTGGTTGTTTATCTTATAAAAGCCTCTAAAAATGTGATTAGACTCATACTGCTCTATAAAATGCAAGTTTCATCCAATTACTTACTTCTCAACATTGTCCGGTGGCTTTCCATTGTCTACAACAGAATAAAATTTACAACTCCTCTCTGTGGCCTAGAGTAATTTCCACTTGATAAAACCCTGGCCTTACTGCCCATGAGTCATCATAACTTAGAAATTCCAAAATACCTTAGTTCCTGAATTTCAGTATAAAATAAAGTTTCACCTCAAGTTCTTTCTCCTCTGTGATGTCATCCTCTACCAAATCAATTTCTTCAAATGTGGGAATGTTTTCTTTCCCTAAAATGCCATTACACCTAGCTATAATCACAACTCCCCTTCTTATTTTAATCTTCGGAGCTCCGACTTGAAATTCCTAAAAACAAATTTCTCCCTTCTTTGTTATAATTTTTTTGAAAGATTTATTTATTTTTATTGGAAAGGCAGATATACAGAGAGGAGGAGAAACAGAGAGGAAGATCTTCCGTCCACTGGTTTACTCCCCAAGTGAGCACAACGGCCGGTGCTATGCTGATCCAAAGCCAGGAGCCAGGAACTTCCTCCAGGTCTCCCACACGCGGGTGCAGGGTCCCAAGGTTTTGGCCATCCTCCACTGCTTTCCCAGGCCACAAGCAGGGAGCTGGATGGGAAGCGGAGCTGCCGGGATTAGAACCAGCACCCATATGGGATCCTGGCACGTTTAAGGCGAGGACTTTAGCCGCTAGGCCACGCCACCAGGGCCCTGTTATAATTTTTCTAAACATACCATCTGCACTTAGAAAATACATAATGGAATGGTTATTTTCAATATCTTCATAAAATCATGTCCTCATGTAAACTTCAGGTTCAGGAGTTGTTTTAAGAAACAATTCAAGAGAAATTATTTAGCTGTCTGATCCTCTTTTCAAGGCAAGATGAAGGCAAAACAGTTGGAATCCAACATTCTGTTTAATTATTGAAACATCGTACAAATGGAATGCCATTGACTTTCCGGGTCATCCCCCAGAGAAGTCAGTTTTTAAAGAGACTAGCTGCTTCTCCTTGTCTTTTCCCATTCCCAATTTCTGGCATTTTAGAAATCACAGACTTCACATTTATCCTCTGGAATTTATCGTCTCAATTTATGACTTACCACATCAACGTCACAATAATTTCATGAACTTGTATGTGGATTTATATTAAAAAGGATGTTTGTTTTTGTAAATTTCTCTTATAATAGTGTCATGTTTGTGCGGTAATAATATTTTTTTGAAGGCAATGAAAGTCATTCCTTTTCTTAAACATGAGCCCAACAAAAATATGGACTTGCCTCATCACCTGACACACGTTTTACACTGAGGGGTATAGTGCTTCCCATATTTGTCACGTGAGATTCTTAAAGCGTGCCTTTGGAGATTCTTCACGGAGAAACTCAATGTTTTTATACTTGCATGGCCTATGTTATTTTCAATATCTAATATTTGCTTTGTCTGAATTCAGGACCGTGGATTTAATTCCCATTGACCAGTTTAGGAATGTGTGTACCGTGAATCTACAGAACAACAATCTGACATCCTTCAGCGGATTGATCTATCTGCCCAACGTGAAGGTGAGTCATTCCGGAATTTCACTTTGGGTTGAATATGCATTTTCATACGATTAAAGTCGGTAAGTACAGGTTTTGATTCGAGTTGGTTTCTGTGGAGTAGGAGATGGGCTAGAAGGGAAGGAAGAGGGGGACTGATTCCGGAAGCAGCCTCATTGTCTCCCTTTGTGCTGCCTACACTCGACCGTCACCTAAGGCTTTTTCAACACAGGAAAGCAGCCATACCTAAGGAGTTATAAATGTATTAAAAACTAAATCCAAAGGCGGGCACTTGGCACAGTGGTTAAGACACCTGTTGGCATGCCAGCATAACCATGTGCCAGTTGCAGCTTATGCTTCTGGTTCCATCCTAACGTGTGTAATTGGAGACTGCAATGATAACTCAGGGAACTGAGTCCTTGCCACCCACGTGGGTAAAGCAGATCAAGTGCCCAGCACTAGCTCAGTGGTTGCAGGCATTCATGAACAAGCAGAAGGGAGATGTCTTGTTTCTTTTCTTTCTCTTTCACATAAATAAAAATTACAACAATACAAATAACTTGTGATATGAAATTTTATCATTTCTAGTACTAGTGCGCATGTTTAAGTTTTATCCACTCCATTTTAGGTATTTCCTATGATGTCTGATTAAGATTTTTTCCTAAAGGTTTTATGCCTCAACTATAATCATATTGAATCAATCATGCCCAGACTCAAGCCTCCGACTCACTTAAGCAGTAGACAACTACTCCACCAGAAAGTGGCTTCAAGTGGCTATGGGCAGCACGGAACTTCTAAAATCAACAGGTACTTTTTTGTTTTAACTATAAACAACTTTAGTTGGGAATTTAAACAATTAGCCCTATTAATAAGAGTAGTGACACATAGCGAACACAGCTTCTTAAATGATTATTGCATAGTTACATGTCAGAAACTAAGCTTCATAAATCAACCCAAAATATTTCCTTGTCATTGTTTTTCCATATCTTCTATTTCATAGCTATATTGTAAGTAGGGAAAGAAGTAAAAATATAAAAATTCTTGTATGTTTATGACCCTGTGTTTCTTTTTAAGACAGGTATATAATTCACATGCCGTGGGTACCATTTAATGAATTTTAGTGTATTTACAAAATTGCACAGCCATTACTACTGTATAATTGCAGAACATGTTCGTCAACTCACAGAGGAGTCCTCTACTTTGGCTTCTTTCAGCATTTATTTCTTTTTTTTTTATTATTATTATTATTTATTGGAAAGGCGGATATACAGAGAGGAGAGACAGAGAGGAAGATCTTCCGTCCGATGATTCACTCCCCAAGTGAGCGCAACGGGCCGATACTATGCCGATCCGAAGCCAGGAGCCTCTTCCGGGTCTCCCACGCGGGTGCAGGTTCCCAAAGCTTTGGGCTGTCCTCGACTGCTTTCCCAGGCCACAGGCAGGGAGCTGGAAAGGAAGCGGGGCTGCCGGGATTAGAACCGGCGCCCATATGGGATCCCGGGCGTGCAAGGCGAGGACCTTTAACCACTTGCGCCACCGCGCCGGGCCCTCAGCATTTATTTCTAAATGACTTGTTTGGTCACTTGAAGTCATAGCACCAATAGAAATTATTTTTTTTAAAGATTTATTTATTTTTATTGGAAAGACGGATATACAGAGAGGAGAGACAGAGAGGAAGATCTTCCGTCCGATGATTCACTCCCCAAGTGAGCGCAACAGCCGATGCTATGCCGATCCAAAGCCAGGAGCCTCTTCTGAGTCTCCCACGCGGGTGCAGGGTCCCAAAGCATTGGGCCATCCTCCACTGCTTTCCCGGGCCACAGGCAGGGAGCTGGATGGGAAGCAGGACCACCGGGATTAGAACCAGTACCCATATGGGATCCTGGGCGTTCAAGGCAAGGACTTTAACCACTGCACCATTGCGCCGGGCCCTAGAAATGATTTTTTAAAAATCAAATGACAAAAACAAAAAGAGAGAGCAAGAAAGAAGTGCCTGTTTGTGTCAGTACTGTTGGAAATACATCTCTATCAAGCTTTGTTTTGTATCTTTGTGAAGTCAGTGGTTGAGACTGCTGTAGTACTAGAGTTTTAATAATCTGCTATTATTTGAAGATTCACTATATATGGCTGAAAAGGTCACTTTCCAATTGATTATTGTTTATAGCTCTTGTGTATGTTACAGCTGAATTAAGACCTCTTTGCTTTTTACCTACTGGTCTCTTTATTTAATAAACCATAAACTCTTGACTGTAATGTTCCATTATCTCAAAAACTAAAAAGGAAGGAAGGAAAGAGATAGAGGGAAAAAAATGAAAGAAAAAAACGGAGGAAAGGGGTGGGAGTGAAAGCAGACACTACTACATTCTCAGACTTGCACCTGTGAACTACACTGAATCTGTTTTCTCTGTATTAATATCACATTAGCATGAAAAAAATAAATTATCAGAGAAAGGAAAAAGATTTATTTCTAAGGAGGAGATGAGAACACCCCCCCCCATCTCTCTCTATGCATTTCCTTTATCTTTATTGTTCTTGGAATGACTGGGAGTAGGCCAGGTTGTACATCACATACGAAGACTGCTACTCCCCAAACTTATCTCTGTGTTTCAGAGACGCAGTAGGCGGGGAACATCTGCCTCCAATGATGCACAGTTTAGAAGTTCTTCATTTGGGCTACAATGGAATTTGTAATTTAATCCAGCTACAAGTGAACAGACTAAGAAACTTAAAATACCTCTTTCTACAGGGTAAGTAGAAACGTTGTCAAAACCTAAGTTTTTAAAATTAAAACTGACTTGATTATCATCCCATTTTTATACGCAACTGCAAGTCTCATTGTATAAACATTCAAACAGATTCAGACAAAATCATTGATAAAACTATTTTAATCATCACAAATGAGTTTTTCCTGAGCTATTTACACGCTTGCAAAGAAAAAAAAAAAATCATGGGGTGATATTAAAGGCCAAATTCAGAATATGACAAAGTGGCCGGGCTGCCGCTTGGGATCATCACAGAAACCCAGTGTTTGCTGGCAAAGTAAAATCAGATGAGCGCAAGGCCACTGTTCTCATGTGGTCATTGCTGCCCCCAGGAGTCCCCTTTGGAGGGAGGGGCTGTAAACTATTCCTTCCAGAAGAATACCCAATAGCAGCTCTGAAAGTATGCTTCATGATCAAAATTTATCATTTTCATGTATTCAAGTTGGGAAGAATATGTTTAGATATTTTGAAACACCATGAGGGAAGTCAGCTTCCTGGCTCCAATCCTGGATCAGCCTTAGCCACTGAGGGCACTGGGAAGTGAACCAGCCGATCAAAAGGGTGTGTGTGTCAGGGTGTGTGTGTCAGGGTGTGTGTGTGTCAGGGTGTGTGTGTCAGGGTGTGTGTGTCAGAGTGTGTGTGTGTCAGGGTGTGTGTGTCAGGGTGTGTGTGTCAGGGTGTGTCAGGGTGTGTCAGGGTGTGTGAGGGTGTGTGTGTGTGTCAGGGTGTGTGTGTGTCAGGGTGTGTGTGTCAGGGTGTGTGTGTCAGGGTGTGTGCGTGTCAGGGTGTGTGTGTCAGGGTGTGTCAGGGTGTGTCAGGGTGTGTGTGTGTCAGGGTGTGTGTGTCAGAGTGTGTGTGTCGGTGTGTGTGTCAGAGTGTGTGTGTCAGGGTGTGTGCGTGTCAGGGTGTGTGTGTCAGGGTGTGTCAGGGTGTGTGTGTGTCAGGGTGTGTGTGTGTCAGGGTGTGTGTGTCAGGGTGTGTGTGTCAGGGTGTGTGCGTGTCAGGGTGTGTGTGTCAGGGTGTGTCAGGGTGTGTGTGTGTCAGGGTGTGTGTGTCAGGGTGTGTGTGTCAGGGTGTGTGTGTGTCAGGGTGTGTGTGTCAGGGTGTGTGTGTGTCAGGGTGTGTGTGTGTCAGGGTGTGTGTGTCAGGGTGTGTGTGTCAGGGTGTGTGCGTGTCAGGGTGTGTGTGTCAGGGTATGTGCGTGTCAGGGTGTGTGCGTGTCAGGGTGTGTGTGTCAGGGTGTGTGTGTCAGGGTGTGTGTGTGTCAGGGTGTGTGTGTCATGGTGTGTGCGTGTCAGGGTGTGTGTGTCAGGGTGTGTGTGTGTCAGGGTGTGTGTGTGTCAGGGTGTGTGTGTCAGGGTGTGTGTGTCAGAGTGTGTGTGTCAGGGTGTGTGTGTGTCAGGGTGTGTGTGTGTCAGCGGGGACGTTGAGTCTGTCTGTCTTTCTCTCTCTCTCCCCTCCCTAACTCTCTCCCCCCTCTCTCCAAAGCTTTAAAAAAAAAGTTTTAGTATGTCTGATATAGAGATATATGAAATTCTGGAAAGCCATGCAAAGAAATTTAGACTGGCTATAGTTGATAAAAGGGATTGTACATTTTTATTTATTTTTTAAAAGATTTATTTATTTATTGGAAAGTCAGGTATACAGAGAGGAGGAGAGACAGAGAGGAAGATCTTCCATCCGATGACTCACTCCCCAAGTGAGCGCAACAGTCGATGCTATGCTGATCCGAAGCCAGAGCCAGGAACTTCTTCCTGGTCTCCCACACAGGTGCAGGGTCCCAAAGCATTGGGCCATCCTCCACTGCTTTCCCAGGCCACAAGCAAGGAGCTGGATGGGAAGTGGAGCTACTGGGATTAGAACCAGCGCCCATATGGGATCCCGGGCGTTCAAGGCGAGGACTTTAGCTGCTAGGCCATGCTGCCGGGCCCGTGGAATTGTACATTTTTGTTAAATATGGCATTGACATACTAAAAAAGAAAAGCAACTGCCTATACCTAAGAGGTTGTATCTAATCAGATAAAGGAAATCTTTCCTTCCTTCCTCTAGATATAGGAAGGGAAAAAGGTTGGGAACAACGTCTCATCCACTTTGCCCCATTCCTGGAGCCTTCCCACCTTGATCGTTGATTCACTTGGGCATCCTTCTCAACTATTAAACATCATGGAAAAAAAAAATAAAATAAACTCAGTTGTCTCAGCAAATCAGAATTAAGCAAACAAATACACAAGCTGAGAATGTTCTGTTGGCAAAGCAGAGTGGATAGCCATATGTAGAGAGTAAGGACTTTTACCCTGACAGCAATAATTGCCATTTCTGGAGTCATTGGGTGTAGTGTTAGTCTATACAAAATATTTCATTTATTTAAAAAATTTTAAGAAATCAATTATTTTTATTGAAAAATAGGCTTATAAAGAAGAGAGACGGAAAGATCTTTTATCTGCTGTTTCATTTCCCAAATGGCCACAATGACCAGAGCTGAGCAGATCTGAAGTCAGGAGCAAGGAGCCTGTGCTGGCATCTCAGACCAACACAGTTGCAGGGTCCCAAGCACTTGAGTCATCCTCTGCTGTTTCCCGGGCCAATAGCAGAGATGCCAGAACTTAGAGATGGAGAATTAGCTAGCTGAGCCATCACACCAGTCCCAGAATATTTCATTTATTAACAACAGCCATACATGATGAATATTTCACAAAAAAAGAGAAATTGAGGCTCAGTGTGGTAAAATAATTGGAAGTTTTCACCAATATGTGTTAAAGAAATAGAGTCCAAATAAAGTCTGTTGGACTGGAAAGCGCAGAATTTTCCATCTAGTATGAATGACATAATACAAGACTGGACTAGAGTGGGAATGGTGAGAAAGAGTTGAATCTACAAGGCAGTTTAAGAGGATTAGTTAGTGACTTGTTGAATGTATAAAAAGAGAGACAACTCAACAGAGATGTTTTCCTGAATTCATCATAAGATAGCCAATGGGTAGTACTAAAATTACACAAAGTCACCGGAACGTTGCCCATATGAGGAAGGAAAAAATAATAGTTTGTGTTGTAACAATTTTTGAGACATTAACAATGAAAACTTTTCAAGTTAGAGCTGGAGATTTGTGTGCTAGAGTGCTTTAGTGAACTTGAACAAGTAAAGGCCTTAAAAGTGTGTGCACACCGAAGAAGTAAATGTGAAGGAAGGACTTTGGAGACACGCACACCCTGCCACGTTAAGAAGGTGAGAAAACCCGATGCAGGAGTACGGCTGCACCAGAGCAATAAACATTTGCCAACTGCGATAATAGATACATATAAAAAGCATTTTATGAATTCAAGAGCCTTCTAATGTAGGTTATTCTTGATATGAATAAAGCTACTGATTGTTTCAGTGGAGAGAACTCAAGTTTAGAGTTTTAAAGAAGGAAAAAACTCAAGTTTGCCGTGTAAAAATACACTAAGAAAGAACAGTATCATTAACAAATATTCTTCCAACTGAATACATTAACCCTCACCATCCTCATATGTAAGGAACAGTGCAACATGTTCAAAGGTCCCAGCGCATGCTTCAAGCAGTAGCTACTATCAAACCCTGTTTATACTTTTTCTGTACATACGTAAATATAAAGTCTAACTTCAAATTAGACACAAACTCATCATAAAATAGAAAAATTTTAATAATATACCACAATTTCTGTAGTAAAATTGTCAGCATTACCTCTCATGCACTTTAGGGCCATTATTTGGTAAAATAAGGATGCTTGACTTGTAAGTGCTACTATAGTTAATCCGATAACTGACACAGCTACCAAATGAGTACTGGGTGGGTAGTATATACAGGGTAGATACACTGCACAGGGGGATGGTTCACATCCCAGCACAGAAGGATTGAAATGTCACCACACTACCCAAAATCGCATGCAATTCTAAGTGTATGAATAGCTTCTGGGATTCTTTTGGAATTTGACTAAAAGTAATTGAAACCACAAAAAATAAAAATGAAACCTTGGTAAAGGGAGGACAGCAATATAACAATTTAAGCTAACCTGCAGTGTTGGCATCCCATGCGGGCGCTGGCTCGTGTCCCTGTGGGCTCCACTTCGGATCCATCTCACTGCTTATGGTCTGGGAAGCAGCAGAGGATGGCTCACCCCCATGAGAGACCAGAGGAGGCACCTGGCTTTAGATAGGCTCAGGTCCAACCATGGTGCTCATCTGGGGAGTGAACCAGTGGAAGAAAGATATCACTCCTCTCTATGTAGCTCTGCCTTTCAAGTCAGAATAAATAAAATCTTGAAGAAAAAGAAAGAGATATCCGTGTTAGAATACTGTGTTAAGGTTTTCCAGAGAGGCAGAGATAATACAGTGTATCTATCTATATCTATATAAATAGAGATGGGATCTGTGAGAGGAATTGGTCCATCTGCTTCTGTGAAGACCTATAATAGGACATCCATGGCTGTAAACCCTGGAGTTCTAGCAGTGGAGCTCTGTCCCAGTCCTTAGAAACAGGGAAACCAATTGTGTATTCTCAAGCTGACGTCAAAAGCTTAGAACCTAGGAGGTCACTGGCAACAGAAAAAGCATCCATCCTATCTCTCCAAGAAGAGGTCCGTCCAGGAGCCAGTTTCATAGTGCAGGATGTTAAGCCACTACATCCCAGCATCCCATGTGAACACCTGTTCAAGTCCCAGCTGCTTCACATTCCAAACCAGCTCCCCATGAATATGCATGAGAAAACAGTAGAACAAACAAACTTTGACCCCCTGCTATCCATGTAGGCGATCCAGATGGTATTTCAGGTTCTGTCTTGGTCTGGCCTAGACGTGGCCCTTGCAGTCATTTGGGAAGATCTCTTTCTCTTCCTGTTTTTCTCCCCCTTCCTCTTTTGTGTGTGTGTCTGTCTCTGTCTGTAACTCAAATAAAAGTGGGAGGAAGATTTGTGTTTATGGTGTTTGCCTCAGCGGGCTGGGTGGTATTCACCTACTCTGAAGGCAGTCTATCGCGTGGTTCATTCAACTCATCTGTTAATACATGGAAACACTTGGATGGGCACACCTTGTAAATAACGACAGCTGAAATTAACCATCTCAAGCACCATTACAATATTTAGATACACATAAGCTACATATCTTTTGCAAAACTTTTATACAATGCCAATACCATTTTAGTACTTAGCTACTGATTGAATAGACAGGGGAGCAATATTAACAAATGCTACCTGATCTTGATGCTACCTTCCTGTAAATTTAAAATCACCTTGCTTTAAAAAAAATGATTTGATAACAAATATTTAAGTAAAGACAGATAAGCTTTCACTCAGACTCAGTTGAATGTATCACAACTTTTCTTTCTTAGGAAATGAGATCAGTCAAGTCGAAGGGCTTGACAACTTAGCAGTGCTCCAGGAGCTGGTGGTGGACCATAACCGCATCCGCTCATTCAACGACAGTGCCTTCGCCAAACCAAGTTCCCTGTTGGCACTTCATCTGGAGGAGAACAGACTACGGGAGCTGAACAAACTACAGCATTTGGTAAAACTGGAGAAACTCTACCTGGGATATAATAAAATACAGGTACCGTTCTTTTGGCTTACTTTTTATGATATGTACAAGCCTAAGTTCTCAGCACTCGTACAAGTTTCACCGCTGTACTGATTTTTCATGTGTACTTAAGGCATGTAAGTGCCCTGCAATGCAAAGATGTCCACCCTACATCTGGCCTGAAGAGGCAACTTCAAAGAAGTTTGTGGAAAATAGAACTAAAAGACTTAAATTTGGCTGCAAAACTTTTGAAACCCATTCATAGCTTTTCATAATACGCATTTTCCCCTGAAGTTTTGCAGACCGTTTCTATAAACTGGAACAAACTTGCATGTACCCACCCACTAATAAAGCTCACTTCTAGGTATTCTAGAATGCTTGTCATCAGTCCTCTCTGGGGGATGTCACTTTCCTTTGATACCTCATGGTCCTAGCAGCTTCTGAACTCCAATTCCAGACTTCTGATCCATCTGAACTTGATATACTTACCTAGTGAAATCTATTCTTGATAACAGATTTTTATCTTGGCTCTCATTTACACGTCTCTTCCCACTCAGGTTATCCCGAGTTAGGATCCGGCCCTAGCTTAACCTGCAGGATTCAGCCTGTTACTCACAAGCCATTGCTCCCCCGGGGCTGCCTGGACTCTCCTGAGATGGTAAAGCCCTCTTGTCTCAGTGGCTTTGCAATGGACGTTAGCCCCTTTTACCAGCTTGCCTATTTGCCCGTGCGTCCAAGGCAGCCTTGAAGACAGATGAACTGGAGCCTACACCGTAAGAACAGAGGCTGAAAAGCGTCTGATCCCACTCGTCTCAATCAATATACCTGGGTCGCATGCTTACCGTTTGCTTGTGGCTATCTGCTGGACGTCAGGAAACATTTTTGGGGCATAATATAAAAGCCTTGTTCAAAGTTAGAAGAAAATCATACATAACATTTCATTCAAGTGGGATCAATTTCCCAAGCCTTTACTCAGGAGAACTCTAACTTTGGACAGTGCTATTCTGTAAGAGGTTCTTCCCAGTGATACAGATGAGCCGATACAAATGACAATGGAATCAGACTTACACTCGCTGGAGATCCTACTGACACCAAGCTGTGCCGATAATTTCAGTCCAGTGGATCATCCTGCCTGCATTGCACACTGGCTAGCTTCGTGTAAAAGTTGAGATCTCCAGCAAGATTTTTCAGGCTGATCTCGGCAGGAGAGTGATTTATCTGTGGAGCATTTACGTTCTACACCCGAGCTGATATAACATTATATAGGGAGCTATGTTTTATAATTCTGTACAATTTTAGGTTTATTCGTCATAAGCAATCCTTACCCAGGAAGACCTGCTAAAAGAATGCCAGAAGGAAGGAGCTTCTTTCTAGGCAACAGTTGCTTTAAGTGACAAGATGTCCAGTCACTATTATGCTTACAGAGAGATTAGGTCAGGTAACCTGTTTTATGCAGAAATACCCTTGTTCTATCTCCCTACCCACTTTTCCTCCTTAGAGATTAAACAGATGCCAGATCACCTGATATGTAATTTCCTCCCTAACAACTTAAACAGACTAATGTTTAGTCATGCCTGCATATTATCAAATCTAATATCACTAAGTGACAATGTGTAGGACAGATCACGGGAGATCATACGCGCATCCTTAAACCTAGAGGTGACCGCCATTTGTTAGTTAATGATGTGCCCTTTTTCATTTTTATTGTTGGGGTACTCTTGCTAATCGAGATTGGTTTTCCTTCAAGTAGTCTAGTAATACCAGAGAGGTTTACAATGTCATATATGTAACTGCACAAAGCTTGAACACAGGGGCAGGTGGTTGGTGCTCTCATTGAGACACCGCTTGGGATCCTAACATCCCGTGTTGAGATGCTTGAACCGGAGTCTCAGCTCCAGTACCGATTCAGACTTCCAGCTTCCTTCTACTGTGTGTCCTGGGAGGCAGCAGTATGGGCTCAGGTGTTTGGGTTCTGGCCATCCAAGTGAAAAATCCAGCTTGAACACTGGATCCTGGCTTTGCCTTGACCCAACCCTGGCTGTCTCAGGCCCTTGGGAAGTACAGCAGCAGGCGGGAAATTAATTCTCTCTCTCTCTCCCTTTTTTCCTCACTCCATTTCGCCCTCTCTTGCTGTCTCTCTCTCCTTCACTATGCCTTTAAGTTGGATAAATAAATAATTTTTAAAGAAACAATGTTAAAATATGCAAAAGAACCTGGGGTAAAAGGGTACCCTGGAGTTTTTAAGGTTTCTATATATACTATTAAATATATATGTATATTAAGTTTATGTATATATTTAATATTTATGTAATATAAGCATATATATTTTTTATCATAGCCACTTCCGAGCTTAAGCTTCCTATCACATAATTCCTGAAAACTTACCAGTTAATTTTTGTAAGTCAGAAAGAGGTAAATCCATCAGCCCACTGTAATAACTGGCATCCATCTGGTGATGGATATGTCAATTTGCTTGATGTCTCTTTACAAGTTTGTACAAGTATTATCCTCTACAACTTTAATACTATTTCCATATTATCCTTTTCCATGGAAAGGAATGTTTTGATTAGGAATATTTCACTAGAGATCAGTATTGTAGTTCTTTTTTTTTTTTTTAAGATTTGTTAGTTTTATTGAAAAGACAGATTTATAGAGAGAAGGAGAGACAGAGAGAAAGATCTTCCATCTGCTGGTTCACTCCCCAAGTGGCTGCTGTGGCCGGAGTTGAGCCGATCCGCAGCCAAGAGCCTGGAGCTTCGTCTGGGATTCCCACATGGGTGCAGGGTCCAAGGCTTTGGGTCATCCTCTACTGCTTTCCCAGGCCACAAAGGGAGCTGGATGAAAAGTGGGACAGCTGAGACATGAACCAGCACCCATGTGGGACTCTGACATGTGCAAGGTGAAGATTTAGCCACTAAGCTACCACACCGGGCCGACAGATGAACAATATCTTTACATATAACTAAATGCTCGAGCTTTATCTAATTACTCTTTTGTCTAAAATAACATCAGTCATTAAAAAAATCAGTTACCACTTCCAAATGATGTGAAACAGGTCTCAATATTTTTACATTTGGTAGATGAACTTACTAAATATTCACTGACAATTTCAAAGAGGAATATGGGCATATAAATAACTTTGTTATATGACTATAAACGAGACTTGCAAATCCCGGGAAGCAGGTGTAAAGGCTCCAGTTACTTGGGTTCTTGCCACCCACAAAGGAAAACTGGACTGAATTCTTAGGCTGCCGGCCTCAATCCAGCACAGCCCCAGGCCGCCGTAGGCATTTGGGGAGTAAGCCAACAAATGGAAGCTTTCTGTCTCTGAAAAAAAAAAAAAAGAAGAAGAAGTTAACAATGAAACCAGAACAATTTTAAGCTGAGTTTATGTTGACTAAATTTTGTCAGAAATGATGTCTTTAAAAATTTTGCAAATACTAAAATGTTAATGGGGAATAGTAACTCCATGCAGCAGGACAGGCGAATCTCTGAGCAAGAGAAACCGTCTCGGATACACGTTCCCCCTGCAAGGGCCTGGCCTGATGTCCCACCCGGCACCGCCTGCCGTCCGGCCCAGGGACCTGTCTCACTGTGTCCCTTGGAACTAGTTTAGATCAGGTTCACCTTTTCCGGACTTCCGGGAAAATACTCCGGAGAAATTAAGCGAGTGTAGCCTGGGCTCCATCGTGGGTCGTAACTCTTCTGAGCAAATGGTCTTTTCTTGCAAGACCTGTTTCCCATGTTAGACTGTCATCTTTGCAGTCACATATTTGGAACCTACGGGACACATAAATGTCCTTATTCAACAGCACAGAATATTGTCACTCAAAATTATTTCAGAGCTTCCAATTATGACATAACTGCAGTCCAACACTTCCACGCAATTATTTCAAATTGTGTATGTCTGAAGATGTTGGATCTAACCAAATATTGACTCTGATTGCCTTTTGACTAGGATATCACAGAGTTGGAAAAGCTTGATGTTATCTCTTCTCTTAAAGAGCTTACGATTTATGGCAATCCAGTGAGTATGTCATCTCTTTAACTTACTAATTATAGCAATTACATATACCTTGTGTGTGTGTGTGTGTGTGTGGAGAGAGAGAGAAAGGGGTTTGATTTTTATAATTTTTCAGTTTTATCGTTTATAAATTGTGTCAATGCTAACCAAGTTGCTGACTAGTTTCTTGCCAGCTGAACGCAGTGTGAACTGCTGTCGTATGTGCAAGGTCCGTTTCAGGATTCCAATGCATTCATTGGTGCATCAGTCTGTCCCTGAACCAACCTGCTATTATGATAGTTACCAGGATTTTGCATTTATCTTCATGTTTGTCAGAATAGGGCTTCTAATTCTTTTCTCCTGCATCTTTCTCTCTCTCTCTCTCTTTTTTTTTTTTTTCTTTACTGTCTTGACTGTTCTTGGTCCTTAACACTTTCCAGTGAGTTTTAGGAAACAGATGCCCATAGATCCTTCCAGTTGTCTTATGTCTGTCTATAAAGATATTGCAGCTGTGTCCATTAAGATTTTAACCTTCGTTGGCTAGATTCTTTGTGTTGTTTTAACAGATATTTTAAATGTAGACTTTTATGTTTTCTAATTGTTGCCTGTCATCTTTGGGTCTGCAGTTCCCTCTTATAAAAGCTAATATTTAAAATAAAGGGAGGTGTTTTTAAGGAATAACTAATGCTGTTAAACTTGATCTAGATTTGTAGAAAAGCACTACACCGCCCTGTGCTCATATTCCGACTGCCGAACTTGCAGAAGTTGGATGGAATTCCCGTGACTCCGGACGATAGGGCAAAGGCTGAGGTGCAACTTTCTGAGCCACAAGCAAAGAAAAATTTGGTAACAATTATATTATTTGCATTTTTCTCTAGAAAGTAGAAATTAACTAGTAAATGAGCAATGTATCAAGTACGTTTTGACTTAAATACTGCACCATTAAAAAGAATGATACTCCATTTCCAACTAAGTGATCTCAACTGGAGACCATTACACTTAGCGGAATAAGCCAATCCCAAGAGACAAATGTCCTATGTTCTCTCTGATATACGGCCACCTTCAATCAAAATACAAAACAAAAGGATGTACAAGTAAACAGGTATACACTGATATTCTCATAAACAAATGGTTTCATGGAGACTGGAGTACCGAGAAACAAACTACTACAGGATGCATCTCTGTTCCAGAATAAAAGAAGGACCCCTAAGGAAGCAATTCTCATGTACAGTGCATTTTCAAATTAGCTTAATTTAGAAGAAATACATAAATTTTGGCTAAAGGGATTTTACTAGAGTTTGTTGGGCATTCTTTTCTATTTCTCCTATGATCAACCCAGTTTTTTCCATTATTTTGCCATTATGTCCTTTTGAGTTATTCCAGATACATCCTCTTGCATTTGAATCAGTGTCATTTGCAAGAATTTGTATTTCCTCTTAGTTGTGTAAACATTGATTTGAAAATTGTTTTGGGGGACCTTCATTGTAGCATATCTGGTTAAACTGCTGCCTGTGATGCCAGCATTTGCTAAGGATGCTGGTTCAAGTCCCGGTCTCTCCACTTCCAATCCTGCTCCCTGCGAAGGCCTGGGAAAAGTAGCAGGCCCCAGCACCCACGAAGGAGAGCCAGCGGAAAGTCCTGGCCCACTCCCCGCCAGTGTAGCCATCTGGGGAGCAAACCAATGGTCGTGGAATCTCTCCCTCTCTGTCTTACCTTCTGCCTCTGTCATCTTCCAAATAAATCAATCTTTTTAAAAAATTAAACTTAAAATAGAAGAAAAAATTTCTGGATCATCATTCATGGAGATATTTAAAATTTATATTTGAAAAATAAATATTTTTTTAAAGATTTTTTTATTGGAAAGTCATTTACAAAAAGAAGAAGATACAGATAAAAGATATCCCATCCACGTGGTTCACTCCCCAAGTGACCACAACAGCCAGAGCTGAGCTGATCTAAAGCCAGGAGCCAGGAGCTCCTTCTGGGTCTCCCACGTGGGTACAGGGTCCCAAGGCTTTGGGCTGTTCTTTACTCAGGGAACTAGTTGGGAAGTGGAACAGCCAGGACATGAACCGGCACCCATGTGGATCCCCAGTGGATGCAAGGCGAGGATTTAGCCACTGAACTTTCATGCCAAGCCCTGAGCAAACAGATATTGATTCAACAATAATTCTTATTTTCATAGCTATCACAAAATTGAGTGATTATTTCTTTTATCTGTTCAGGTGAAATAAGAACAGAGAACTTTCCAGATCTGTCAGTTTAGTCTGTGCGGTAGTTGCTGTCTTTCTTTTTATGGCGGCAGATGAAGATGAAATAAATAGCATCCAAAGTTGTCTTTTAAACCTACATATGTTGGAGGATAGGATTCACAAGAAATTTTGACAGCATTATAGATGAATGATATGAATGATGGGACACGTGTTTTGCCATGTGAATCAAAACTGTTAGAAAATGCTTTTTCTTAGTCCTCACCTTCCTTGCTTGTTTATGGAGAGCCAGTTAACTACTGACCTAAATCAGGTCATCTGAGAAACACAAAGGCAGGGAAGAAACAGCTCTTACCTTCCGGAAGTTCCTGCTAGTAAGGGGGGGGAAGAAAAGAAAGAAAGAGATGCTAGGAGGGGAATCGTGGTTCTTCCTGCCTGCGTCTTCACTTGCCTGTGTCTGGATCCTTCGGACCATGTGCTACACAGCGGGGGTGAGTGAGACCATGCAGCAGAGGGTTCTGAGGCAGCTAGAAGGTTCTGTGGGTTGGCAGTGCTGTGCCCAACACCCACTAGGAGCTTAGGAACGCCCTTTACTGTACTCGGTGAGTCACGTGGTGACGGGGCCCGAGCAAGCCTGTTGCTCTAACTGTTGGAGGCGAGGTGTTCTGAACCGCTGCGTTTTACCCTTCAGGCTGTTCCTGCCAACAGCTGCCCTGCGGATGGCTCAGCGTTCAGCCATCTCAAGGCTCCTCCCGTGAAGATGGCCAACGTGACCCTGCCTGGAGGATTTAGCCATTACTTGGGCCCCGACTTCATTTTAACTCCTGAACTTGAAGGTATTTCGACAAAGAGCTCCAGAGAGAATGGAAAAGAAACATTTTGTTTCAAACAAACAAAAATCTCACTTCGACTTCTAAGGTTACTTAAAGTTGTGTTATATTAGTTTACGCTTCCGCAGATTGTTCATGCTTCCTGTGGCCGTTCTGACTTGAGAGACTGCAGTGGTTCCGGGCTCGGCTGCTAACATGTTGTAACTAAATATTTGCTTGTCTGCACTGTGGACTCTGTGGCGCTGGTACAGTTAGTTCCTAACTTACTGCTTTCCAAAGCTTCCATTGCACGATGTATGTGTCACAGCAAACAGCTGCTAAAACCACTTGGTCAGTGAATCCTCCCAGACTTAGAAATGAGACATTCCACAAGGTAGCAGCCCTGAGGAGAAGGAGACTTGACGTGACACCATTTCCCGCACACCACAGCCCCTTGAGAAGGTGCCGCTGGGAGAGAGTCAAGGGATGGGGCGGCACCGAGGAGGGAGCGAATGACAGGTTGATCCTCCTACAAGTCACAGTTCAGTTCGGCTGTACACACATCTGTTTCCTAATGTGGGTCCTCAGAACAGCTGCGCCTCTGAAGGCTGGTCCCCGATTCCTTCCGACCTCCCTGTTCGTCCTCAAGTCCTTGCTGGGCGGTAACCAGACATCTCACTAACCGTTATCCGAGCGCCGACTGCAGGTAGTGAGCACTCCGTCCAGGGTAATTCAGCCTCGTGGTGTCCGTCACAGTGACCCTCACGTTTAACTTGCTTCGCACACTTGGTCCCCTCGGCTTCAAGAGTTGCATAGTAACGGAGTTTGATATGCATTTCTCCAGTAGATACAACTGTCAACAAAATTGAATGTACCAAATTGCTATTGGCATTTCCAATTGCTCCTTAATATGACAGTGTCATCTTCCAGAATATTCTTTCTTTCTCCCCGTTAACTGAGCACTGAATTCCCCTCCGTAGCGTTCTTTATGGACACCTGTCTTCAAAAGTCTTGTGAAGCCACTTCTTAGGGTGTTCTGGGAAAGTCCCGTAATTTCCTTTCTATTTTCTGACTATGCTTTCCCAATTATTATTTTGAAAAGTCTTTATTACAGCGTGTGTATATCAGTATTTTCATGTTCTTAAATCGGACTGGAAAACATCAGATTGATCCACTATCCCACAGAAATTTAAGCTGCATTAAATTCTAGCACTCGATTCCAATTCTAAGATTCGATTTGTACATTGTATTTCCTAGATTGAAACACACAGCCCACATTCAGCGGAAGGAGAAGCAAAGCCTTGTGACTCGATGCTTCTTGCGTCACAATTTTAACTATCTGATCTTCTAATTCCAGACAAAAAAAGCAAGAATGCCGGCATTTTGACCAACAATCCTAGGAGCATCCATGCCGAAATCGCTTTTCGGCAACTCAGGGGGATCGTCATGCCACACCAGAGCCTTGCATCGCCAGCAGCACAGATGTACCAGAGCGGCCACGAGGGGGCGAGGTAGAGCCTTTTCAGCGTTAAAGGATGCTCTGCTGCCTGGGGATGCCTAACAAATAGAAAAAGGTTATGCTTGGTTGAACATGAAATTACAAGATATGTTTATTTGGGTGCAGAATGTTTCTGAAATCCCTGCATATGAGAGAGATCTTCAAAAAGCTCACCAAAAAAAAAAAGTGTATTGTGATAGGGTAGGTGTTAGTGCCAGTTGAGATGCCAGCCGGGATGCCCACTTCCGGGGGCCTGGGCTGGAGTCCACCTCCACTTCTGATTCAGTGCCCCCACTGCGTCCTCAGACCCCTGGCTTTTAAAGAGCCCCAAACAGCGTCATGTTCCCTGTCTTAAAAACTGTCTTTTTGAAACCTCACTCATACCAAATTGCTTACTGAAGAGTTATTTTACAATTACCTTAAGCTAACTGATCTGTTAAGAAATTGTCTGTGTCATCTCCCATCCTAGCACGTTAAGTACAAAATAATATTTAAAACCAAGGCAGCACTATTGGACTCACGCATTGTGCTTCTTACAGGATCGCTGGAGGCGGCTTTTCAAGAACCAATCAACTGTGAGTGCCTCGAGAGACCTGAGCGGACGCCAGAAACTCAGATCTGCTCCGAGGTCCTGCAGAAGCTACCCAGGGGTCAACGGAAAAAACAAAAACAAACAACGATGAAAACATGCTCCTGTTCCTTCTGTTATCACAGCTCGTCAGTTCCACATGAAGAGAATCTGTCACCTTTGATGAGTTTAATATCACCTCTCTTAAACTTTCCTTATGGTCATCCTAATCATTTGTGCGAACGTCTGTATTATCAAATCACGAGCTATCATATCATGCAACCTAAAAACACCGGAAGGACGTGAAACGCAGCCCAGGGGATCACATGCTTAGTTCCAGAGTTAGAAGCTCTTGGCTAGACCGTTTGTAGACAGGAGAAAGCCACACTCCCGCTCGCCTGGGGTTACGTTACACGAAATGAAAGCGTTTGTTTTTCACCAACCACAGCTAGCGCTGAAGCAAGATGGGTTTCGCTGGCAGAACTGCAGGATGGTTTCTGGGGCCGTGCTTTGTAAAGTTAACTTCACACTGCTTTTATCCTCTAAGTTAGAGATGGCAAGCCGGGGGCGTGGATGTGCGGGAACCCGGGAGGGCCCAGATGCCGTTCCTGCGGGACTGCAGTGTTGCCAGGAGCTCCGGCCGGGGAGGCACACATGTTCACACTGAGCGGACACATTTAAAATCCTCTTCTTCAATTCCGTTTCTCACTGGAAACGGTGCTAGGACGTGCCACAAATCGGTCATGCATGGTTTAGGATTGGTTTGTTAAACACAGCTCTCTCAATTGGTGACTAAATTGCCAACCCCATTTGGATATAAACAGACTCCATGACTCGAGACGTGATCTATTTGGATTTAAAAGCGTTATTTCAACACTACATATAATTTTCAAAAGATTTTACATGTTCCTTGCATGATTATACTCCGTGATCTATCTAGAAATAATTTGAAAGGTAGCTTTGCAAACAAATTCCAATCAATGTATATACAACCATCTTTTTATCCTTTAAGAACTATGACTTAATCATGTAATGTTTAAAATTTCAGATCTAATTAAATATCGATTTTACACTCCTCAGTGTGCGATTTCTGAGCAATCATTACATTAGCACAACAGGTGGGAATGAAATCCTTTGTCTACAAAGCGGCTGCGCAGGGGCCAGCGCGGTGCTGCAGCCGGCCCAGGGGCTGAACTGCCACTCAGAGCGCTCCGGTCCCACCTGCAGCGTCGGTTCCAGCCTGGCGGCTCCACTCTTCCTGTCCAGTCCCCTGTTAAAGTGCCAGGAAAGGTAACAGGCTCAAGTCCTTGAGTGCCTGCTACCCACAAGGAAATCCTAAAGTTCCTGGCTGTTGGCTTTGGCGGGGCACATCTCTGGCTGTGTTTGGGGAGTGAACCAGCAGATGGAAGAGGGCTCCCCTCTACTTTCACTCTACCTTTCAGATAAATCTCAAACAGAAAAACCCCAACCGCGCAATTCTTACGGTTTCCAGAAGGGGGCGCTGTTGCGCTTTGGTTGTGACAGGTGCATAAGCGGTGTCGGTTTCTCCTTTAAGAAATGGGCTTCACAGTAAATGAAATGCCATTTTACTTCCATAAAAGTGTCTTTTCAAATAGTGACCTAATTTGTAAACATAACGCAATAAGCTTTCACTGGAAACAATGTTCAGGAATACAAAAGTATTGAGCAGGAAAAAAGGAAAAAAGTCCTATGCCACATTCCCATATTCCTAGTCTTTTTCCTATGAGTTTTAATACAAGATTTTTCCATTTAATTTTATGTATGAATTACTTAATTTTGAGGTTTAATTAAAATTTAAGTGCATCTGAATTGCTTCCTGGAAGAAACAAATTCAATATAGAATTTGAGCGTGACATGAATAATAATAAAAGTACACAGAGCCTCACGTGTACCTTTGAGCAGAGACACGGATCCAGCCCGCAGGAATCTCCCAATGGAAATACACAATAAGGGATTTTAAATAAAACCACGTGGGGCTGGGCACTGGCTTTAGTGCTGCAGCAAGCCAGTTGGATTGCCCACATTTTTCATTGGAATACCCGGACAGAGTCCCAGCTTGGCTCTGCATCCTGGCGCCCTGGGAGGAAGCAGCCCCCTGGGAGCCCTGGTGGGCACGGTGGCTGTGCCCTTGCCACGCACCAGGGAAGCCTGGATTATCAGAGATCTGGCTGCCAGCTTCCGCCCAGCGGCCCTGCTCCTTGGCACGTCTGGGGAGTGAGCTAACAGAGGGGAGCTGTCTGTCTCTGATTCTCTGATTCAATGATGTAAAAACAGAGTCACGAGACTCACATAAATTAAAAAATAGCTGAGGATTTTTTTTAATTTACATGATTTAACATAGAAATTGTGCATTTTTTTCCTGTTATAACAGCGGATGCCTCTTGCATGATGTATTCCCCTGGACTGCTTATATACTTTCAGCTTTAGGAATATCTGTCACCCCCTTCCTGTCCCAGTCAACAAAACAAACAAAAATCTAAACACAGATGATGTGTAACAGATCTGATCACCATGATATTAACTATAATTATTCAGCATATAAATCTGAACATCAGTATCTTACCGTCGACATTCTGGGCTTTTCTATTGACACAAAATGAACTTTGGTCATTACCATGTAGTCGCCTCGATTATTCAGCATACGACGCTGTCCCGGTGTGTTTGTGAACAATCCCGACTACTTGATAACAGTCGCCATTAACTGGGCGTGGTGTCACTATCCACAAGCCGCTGATATGATGAGAAGTGCTTGATATTTAAAAACATGAGCCTTTAAGCCATGCTGTAGGTTCCTGGCTTCAATTACATCTGACTTACGGAACGAGCGTGTTTGTGGTTGTGTAGGAATGGCGCCTTCGGCCGCGTCTTGGTCATTGATGACGGAACAGCCAGATCGGCGTGTCCGTGGGCTGGAAGCTGGTGTTTCTAACGCCTTCACTAGGAAGCCGAGCTCGTAGGCAACCTGCAACTGCTTCTTCCTCTGTATCTCGCTACATGTTTCTCCATGACAGGTTTTTTTAAAAATAAAAATGTCTACTAAATCGCAGGTTAAGCCCACAATTTGCTTTTCTAGCTAGATTGGCAGAAATACGCCGTTACCTTAATCAGAAACATTCTGTATCTACAAATTTATTTTACAAAAAATCATACCTTTTCACTGCAATTGTTCTTTGCCATTTTGCTTTTCCCTTTTTAAAGATTTATTTTTATTGGAAATGCAGATATACAGAGAGGAGGAGAGACAGAGAGGAAGATCTTCCGCCTGATGACTTAGTCCCCAAGTGAGCTCAATGGCCAGAGCTGTGCTGATCTGAAGCCAGGAGCCAGGAGCCTCTGTCAGGTCTCCCACCCAAGTGCAGGGTCCCAAGGGCTCGGGCCATCCTCAACTGCTTTCCCAGGCCACAATCAGAGAGCTGGATGGGAAGCGGGGCCACCGGGACTCAAACCAGTGCCTATATGGGATCCCGGTGTGTGCAAGATAAGGACCTTAACCACTAGGCTACCATGCCAGGCCCTCTTTCCATTTTGTTTTGCCAACTACTCAAAATATATTTCTCAGACTTCATTCATGAATTTCTTTATTTCAAAATTTTGTTTTGATAATGTCTTTTTTGTGTGATAAAATGACTTGCTAACATGTACTTTGGAAATTAAAAATAGAACAGCATATTCAAATAAACATAAAGGTATATTTAAAAGCATTTATTCTGCCAAAAACCACTTGAACTGTACTCTCAGAACATGCTGCTCATCAGGGACCCAGGATGACATCGGGTGGCTGTTCCCATCCCTGGGTGCCGGGACAGTGGGAGGCTGGGTGTGACTTCTCCCCATCCCTCCCCGCAGGGACAGGAAGAAGAGAAGGGACAAGGAGACAGTGGTCTCAGCCGCTTTCCCTGGTCCCGACCCCTCCCCACCAATCAACTGTGTAAACATCGTCAAAAATTAAAAAAAAAAAAAAATTAAAGGCATTCACTGAAATAACTATCTTTCATATTTTATTTGACCTTTAATGTGTGCTCTTCTGAAGAAAATTTAAGAGATTTGTCTAATAAGGTTTTCCATAAAAAAATATCGGTGCTTATGGATAATACTTTTTTTCCTTTTATTGTATCACTTAATGTAATAGAATTTCTATATGCTCTGGATAAAAAATTCATCAGGATAATTCATTTTGGTGAGCTTCTTTTTAATTACAATTTGACCAAAGTTTAACATTACGTAAAGGACTTTTTTTTACAAAATGAATACTATGCTTTCATCACTGTGTGATTATACATTTTGTATTAGGGATATTCTAGACATTGCAAATAGAAAAAAAAAAGGTGAGCTTCTTACTATTTCTGTAAACCATAAAGATAACAATTTTAAGTGGACGTACGGTCATGTGACTTAACAACTACAAACTTTAATCGTAATCGACATGTT